TTCAATAATCAATCATTGTCAATTTGATTTTAAACTGATCTAAGCTGTTCTGGGCAAAACGGGGATCATTCATTAAGAATATTTGGTCGAAAAGGGAAATGCTATTTTTAGCCTACGCTCGTCGGTCAGCATCAATGCGTCGTAAGCTGAGCACGTTCACATAACATGATTTAGTTCTATTGTGATTTGTAAACAGTATAATGTATTCGACTTTATGGAGCATTCAGTAAGTTCTTAAGAAGTAATTAATGACGTACGTTATATTTCTACTGCATAACTGCATAGCTGCATTACTCTATTGAACTTTCTGATAAAGACCATGCAAATTAACGTTAATCGTATGGTAATTGCATGTTAATTATTTGCAATTGTTATATTTACGTAATATATAAAGTAACCGTCAACAAAGACCATTGTTATGTATAATAGGTATATTTAATTTATCGGAACATATGTTGTATATACGTAATACAACCACGATCGGTTATATGAAGCAAATTTTAAAGATGATTTCTGTAAAGACTATTATATATTTATATGTATAAGGCCGTTTCGAACAAATGTAATAAGTTTAGCAGCCTGTAAAAAGAAAAACACTTTATATAGATAGGTACTATTTACTTTTTTTGATATTTCTTGAATACTTCTATTATGGTATTAAAGTGTATCGCAGTGATAATTTATACTGCAGTGACCGAAAGACGCATAGTTGCCAGTTGGATACATTTTAATCCCAAGTGGACTTGAAATTAAATATTTTTATACTTCGTAAAATTAAGACTTCACACTGACTTTAATTTATATTATAATATATTTACAATATTTCAATATCTATTATTAATTAAACATTTAAAGTTTAAACGGTAAGAAAGAACATAATATTTGTATGCATTGTTTTTGCCTTCTATAATCGGAAAATAGCGATTATTATCGTTTTTTGTCCCCCAGATGGCCATGATCTTCTTTTGGTTTTTTATAACCACACAATTGATAAAAAAAGATCCATTATCAATCGCCCTCATACCAGAACTTCACTATGATAAATTCAAATAATAGAAAAATAAATTTGTTCTCCTAGAAATTGATAGAATCAAATTGATCACACCACTGTGAGATGCAGTGATGGTATTCGAAAATTCATCAATGAAAAAGTATATAATATTGTAATATTAGCCACAACGACCATCGGCCATTTCGTGTAATTGTACGATTTCTGTAGTATCACCTATATGGATGTAGAGATCTCTTAAATTAATGCGAGCGATTGGTTGATATTTTTTTTCAAAGTGTCATCAGTCATCACATAGATACTAATTAATAAATTCGATCTACTGGATACGTTTGCATTATCATGTTTTTATCCTAAAGTGAATATTTTTTACTTGACAATTCGGTAAGTCCAATCTGCAGTGTCCGATGACATTGCGAGAGTGCTTCTACACTATTTTATTAAAACAATAAATAATATTGAATTATTCATAATCTATATTATGCGTATTAAGAATAGTCTAATGACAATTAATTTGCAAATTGAAACGAATTATTCGTATTCCTTATCGATAAATAATAATATAATTAGTTTGTGCACAATAACATTTTCTGAAATGCAATAATTATTATCGACTTCTAAACAAAGGCACGCGACAAAGAACCCACCAGCGCGTTATTTCAATCGTCTTATCAATGACCTTCGGACTTAAGTTCTTTAATATTGTTTATTATATTTTATTGAACACATATTAATGTTTATTTTACGGCAGCCGACAGAGGTCCTGTGTATCGTGTATGAACAATTATTTACCTATCGCTGCGAAACGACTGCAATAACGTAATAATAATAACTATAGAAATGTATAAAAACCGTTTTATTTCCTCGTTAAGAGTTTTTATTTTAATTAATTGATTTTTTTTCTTTTGACAGCGAAATAAATGTAACCCATAATCGAGATCATGTTTATTGCACCTTGCATTAAATAGGCAATGTAATTAAGTACTTAACGAAATCGCATTTATAATACAATAAAGATTAATGAATATAAAATTATAAAAGTACAGTAATATTTTTTAATTATAAACCATAATAATAGACAATAGTATAATACAAAAAAACGATCATCGAAAACCGTGATGTATTTTTCAAAAAGCCACTTATATAATCAATAAGCATATGTCTGTTTATTATTTCGCATGTATATATATTATAAATTATTATTTTGACTTAACTACTAAACACGTAATACAGCACATCAAATAGGTACATAATAATATAGTGTTTAATATAATATTATCATTTTTGAAAACTTTATCGTTCACGTATCGCACAATAAATGAGTTATTATAAATAATGCATTCGAAATATACTTTAATACCCATTCTATTTGAAATTGTAACAAATTCGTTTAGAATTTGATTTTGCGTGTTTTAGTAATAATATAACATATAAGTGTAATATTCGTCGAAAGTTCTAATTATTTGAAATTGGTGTAATATTGCACGCAATGTTATTGAATACGTTCTTACGGATCGACGAGGTGCAACAATTATAATCGATACGTAACAAAAATAATAATGGTCGTCAGCCAAAATGTTTTCGATTCTTGACGGACAGGACAGGTATATATAGACGTTTCGATGAAATCCTAAAACGGAATAGTCGCGATTCGCGGTGTACTCCACGTTATACATCGCTGTATAAGAGTTTGACAAATAATTCGACTATTTCTGGACTATATACTCTTTGTTCTGGCAAGCGTCCGGTGTTTTCCGCCCTTCCGGTATATTATAATTTATATACCATACAGAATCTTCGAGTCTCAAGGTTTTACCAGTCATTTTAAAAGTAATTTTTCATTTCTATAAACGATATCATATAATATTAACCATACATGGTGCACATATTGATCTACGATCTCGTGCGATCAAGATTAATATAACATCGAAAATGATTTTTATTTTGATGTACGACCATTGTTGGTTTCATTTGGTGATCAATATATTGAACGAGAAAAAAAACAATTATTGCTTGGAGAATATTATATATATTAATATAATATTAATAACTAAGTAATCGAAAGAACTAATTCTCGAAACATTATGTTTTCAAACAATTAAACAACTAGGAATGTAGTTCTATAGTTACATTTTGCAATGTCAAGTAATATTATTACGTTTGAATTAGATGAGAATAAAAATTACATTTCACGAAGATTTATAAAATTATATGGAGCCATATTATGTATTTTAATGTTTACTATAAATTAATATAATAATTTGTCTATACATATCTGTATATTATATTTATGACGTTAGTAGATGGGATCAATATATAAGTATTCCCTCATCAACATAAGTTGAAGTATAATACAACTGTAATCTATACATGAATAGTATAATTATAGTCTATAGGTACCGTAAAGGGCTCAATATATTTCCAAATACATTATCATTACAGTTGATGTTACATTGTTACCCAACAAGACGTTTTAACGAGACGCTTTTGAAATTGTTCGGTATAATTTTCAAGATGGTTATTATAAGGATACTAAGAATACTACGTACTTGTTAGTAGTTTTGAAATCAAATAAATAAATATGATAAAATAAGATGAATATTTATATTGTGTGGACACAGGTATTCGAGTTACTTTAACTTTTAAGAAACACAGTTTGAAAATCTAAAAACATGTTTGTGATATCTGTAAAGTTATTTAGAAAAAAAATAAACGAAAAACTGTTGCTGTCTGCCGATAGATATGTCTTCATATTTTAATATAATATAATAACATATTAAGTATTTGGGGAAAAAATATTTACGTACAGTTTAAATAGCCTTGTATTATAGGGGACCGAGGAAGCGATTTATAAACACCATCAGACGGCCGTTTTAACAAATCGACCAAACCCAAAGCGTTTCGTCTATTGCTCGTCGCATAACGCATATCATGCAAATGTGTTTTAACTCAATAGTAATATAGCCTTATAGACATCAAAACTATAGGGTCTATTTAAACTAATAATAATTAACTACAGTGGCTACAGTGGTTTTGTATACCAATATAGTAATAGTACTGTGCGTACTACACGTGCATTTAACTTATCGCGTCCATATAGAATATATAGGAATATTATGAGTAAAGTAAATTAAATTATTCTATTTGAATGGATCATGACGTGAAATGTAATACAATTCTGTTGAGATAATGAATCATCAGGTGCATGAACGTATCAGACCGTCAACATTTTTTTTTACCCATACTAGAACATAAACAGAGATATTAATTGAATGCTTCAATCGCTTAAACATATTTTATTCCGACGTGATTACAAAAACACTAATTAGATAATATAATATGTTACAAGCATGTGTACATATTATTATTATTTATTAACGCTACTGCAGTTGGACTGAACGTTATTATAATAATATGGCAATCTGTATTATATAGTAATGAAAGTAGTTTCTAACAGCTGTTCGATAAATCCGACCGTTTATTATTGCCGATACTGCTACGGTATTTTCTCACAGTTTCTGGTTCGAACGCGCGTTTACCTTTTCTTCTTATTATTTTTTACATTTCCACTGTTCTAAATACCAGTCATTATGGCGATGCACAATTTATTCATAATTGTGAATCGTCTCCGGTAACTGCAACTTAATAATTGAAGTATCGCACGCGCTCGTTTAAATATCATGCCTATTAAACGACTGACGCGTCCGTAAATAAAATTAATGTACCTATTACATTATCGTGAAGATTGTTATGAATTATAATTTGTACGAATTAAGAGGTATGACGCACTGTGAATCGTCATTTGGCAGTCATGCAAAAATCTCGTAAACGTTTTAAAAATGTGGTCCATTTGCCGGTGATCTTTTCACTATAATATTATAACTATATCATATCAATATCATTATTCACAAATGCTGTACCTAAAAGTATAGCAAACTCTATTACCATGTAAGTCATTAAAATATTAACACAATATTATGTGTGATTGCAGCAGGACAACCGAGGGCTAGAATTCAAAGAGCCTCCGAAAACAACATGCCGATGAAAGTCAAAAGCTAAAGATAGACCGCGTAAGAACAGAAAAAAAAATGGATCAAAGTAAGTGTTGTTCCGCGATAGTAACTATAAGACATCGTCCATCGATGACGCGGCGTATCAGTAAAAACTAATTAATATCAAAAGGGGGAATACGAGAAGAATTTTTTCGCAAAAAATAAAATTATTTTAACTCAATGAGTTTTGCTTAAACGTTTAATTGTTTGACAATTTAAAAAAAAAGTTCTGAGGTTCTGGATGGACAAGGCTCTTTATACATGTAAGATACATCACATAGGTTATTAGGTTATATCACTTTAAATTACGTGAATATCAGTCATGTATATAACATTATAATTTAACGATTTCGACTAATTGTGTGTGGCGATTGCGTTACTGTGTGCAGATTCCTATAGTCCAAACAGGAAGAAACCCCTCGAGAAGAGATCGTGTACGGATTGCTTGTGCTTTCTCGGTTTTGGCGTGTTCATAGCCTGCTGGTTGGGATTGGCCAGCTATGGTACGTATACAATTTACTTTAAAATAAACTTTATGCTAGCCACTGTAAAACTATGTCCATGGACTTTGGTTTTAACTTTTAAGTTAGAACTTTACAAACGTCATTATAAACATAACATGTCTTTTATGGTTTGCAAATATATAATTGCAGTTAAATATTAACACACGTTTTCTCACCATAATATTGGTAAATAAGGAAATTCTAAAAACTGAAACTATAGATATCAAAATATAAGGAGAATATATGTATAATGATTTCTGTCCAAGAAACCTGCACCTTTGCAGTTTTATCTGTTATTGAAAATTGCTACAAGGAAGAAGCATACAACCTTCGAACAATAATCAATACTCTTACAAAAGTGCACAACATTCATAAGCGCATTTTGAGAAGGGGAAAATTCGGAAAGGATTAGCTTCTCTAAAAATCGATATTATAGCTTAAGTATTAACTTCCCCATTAATTACTTGATTTATAATAAACAAACTATTTTTATAACCATGAAATGTTTATACTGAGTATTTAAGTCCTTAAAATTGGTTTACAAAAATATAAAACATACATGTAATATTGGACCGAGTATTTATTATACTTGGACCATTTTCACAAATGATAAATATTCAATGTCCATATACTAATATTAACTACTAAAATTTAAAATCACCATAAGCCCAGTATTTTCTATCAGCTATCATTGGCCTATTATCCTTAGTACACACAGTTAAACAACTATAGAAAACTACTTGAATTTTGATTTAAATACGTCAAAATGTTCAGAAAAATTATCTGATTAATAATTTATAATAGAAAAATAAGATTATTATTTGTAAATCAGAAGTTCGTATCTCTACATGTCTCTCCTTAAGTTAGTATAAAAAATCTCAAGAATAAATATAGTTTACCTAAGGATTACGAAATTCCAAAAATCAGATTTTGATTAACTGCATTATTGAAGAAAAAAGTGTTAGGATGTGAATGCATGGTCAATATATACTGTATATATTATATTACATTAAATTCCTATCATATATCAACAACATTTTCCGTTTTCAGCTTACCAAAATTCGGATCAAGAGCTGTTCATTTCACCGTCAGATTCGAATGGTCAAGTGTGCGGTCGTAATAAGAACGTGTCTGATAAACCGTACCTATTCTTCTTTGACATAACCGAATGCACGTCGCCAATGATTTTCGTCCACGGGTGCCAAACTCCTCAGGTATAAATAGTTAAAACATTCGACTCAAGCATTTTTAAAACGATTTAGGTATATTTATTTCCCAAATAGACATTGGTTATCACTTTTCAAAAAAAAAAAACTATGTTTTTACAATTTACAACACATTAATCTACTGTTAAATATCACATTGCCATATTTTTTCTAATATTGTGGATAAAATATGTTCTAGTTTCGAAATACCTTTATTATTGGGGATAGGTTTCTGATCTAACTGACGTATGCGTTGCACATCGCAAGCACAAAAATTATTTCAAAATAATGTGTATAATATTATAAGCCGCCTCTCTGTTTCCGAAAGGTATGCGTGGAAAATTGTCCAAACACGGAATGGTCAGTCAAAGAAGTGTTGGACTCTAAGGAGTCTCAAGTCGACTGGCCGGCCATACAGAAGACTCTGATATGCGTCTCTCCCGATCTCAATAAATTGGTCAATTCGAAGGAAGTGCTGAAAAACTTTACATCGACCAACCTATGTGCCAAATATTTTACTAAGAGTGAAATTCGTGAGTATTAAGCATTACATGCATATAAATAATATAATTAATAGTGTTGTAGATGTGCAGGTTACGTTCACGTAATAAACAAATAAAAAACGCATTTTTCGATAAGAGATAATAATTATTTATTTGTTATGGATTGGGTGCATTTTTGTTCAATAATATCTGTATATATTTCAAGATGGCATCGATAAGATAAACATAATATATAATATCCAGTGCATATTTAGAACTTTTTCAAGTTAATAATCTTTAGACCTAATTTCGAATACAATAACTACCTAGTACCTATGCATACATATGTAGATAATTCGACGGAATCTTTTAAATATAACTATATTGATTATGCATATGTAATAATTATAACCAATGTATAATACCATGTTACCATTGTATGACCGTCAACGAGTATATTATTAATTTATTTTTCAAACGATTTCAGTGTTTAATTATTGCATTCCTACTTTAAGCGGTGACTTGGAGAATCTAAAACAAATTTTGAATTCCAACAATATCGCGATGAGCAATTTTATCGACGGAACCGCTATGGTCGATTGGTTGAAAGTATCGAAGGAAGTATGTACTTAAAAACATAAAACTATATGTATATTGTATAACAATAAAATATTTTTCGTAGGTATCTAATTTAAATTATATAAACAATAAACGCTTACAAAAAAATTCCTTTAATATCTAACAACAATTAATATTTAAATTGTTTATGGTACTCGTAGGCCAGTCAACATATAATAGAAGATTTAGAAAAAAGCTACCAACACATCATTGTTGGTCTGTTGATTGCCATCTTTCTCAGTCTAACATACATCCTGCTGCTAAGGTGGTTCAGTTGGATAATGGTTTGGATGTCAATGTGGGCCATTGTGGGTTTATTAGCTTTTGGTGAGTTATAGATTTGTAGTGCGTATTAAGTTTATTACACTGCACCTAATAATAACTAATAGTTTCACTTACTCACTTTTCCAACAAGCAAAATAAAATTGATCTAAAATGATTTAGAAAACTTCTTGAGCACAGTGTATTATAACTATTTATAGGTACTGCATTAATTAAGTGTACACAGAAAAGTCACCCTTTACCACAAGTTTATTTTACTAAATTGAAGTTATAATATGAACACAAAAAAATAAAATAAATTTAAATTTATCACGTTTTAAACTTTAATTAGGTAAATAATATTACTTATTATTATGATGTTTAAGTTCAAATTTAATAGTAGAATTTTAATTTATTTAAAAGGACTTAATTTTTTTAAACGATAATTGGATATATATTAATTTGTTTAAATTGTTATCTAAAATGGGATATTCGACCATACTGTATTTATGATGTATTATACACTTGATATGCAGTTATATATTATAAGTATTATAGCAATATAATAGTGACCGCCTTCGTCCCCAACCTAACCAAGAAGATGGTACAGTGGTATATCATAATAGAGTATACAGCGGCGACAAAGGGTGGCTGTTTTTATATAATACACGATTAAATAATACTTTAAAAGTGTTATAAATAACGTTCTGGGCAGATTTTTCTATTTTGCAAAATTGTAATGCATCTGTTGTCTTGTATTGCAGGTAGTTACGAATCGTACTTGAAATACGTGTCATTCGGCGACTCCGATACCGCGACTGCGATGACGGAAGACGGAGAGCCGACCGACATCGCCACGGGTGGCGGACGACAGAGTTGGAGCAACTACGTGAACTCCAAACTAAACAAAAAGTCCACCTGGTTGGTGTTCACTGTCGTGTCGACCGTCGCTCTGGTCGTGCTCCTGTTGATAATCGTGTTTTTGCGCAAACGTATACGGCTCTCCATAGCGCTGATCGTGGAAGGAAGTCGGTGAGACGACGATAAATTAATAATTATAATACCTTTGTAATAATATATACATATATAATATCTATATAAGTAATCTATCGATATATAGATAAAAATGAATGTCTCTTTTTTCCACACTCGTAATCATTAAACTACCCGCCTGATTCGCTTGAAATTCAACATTGCTATTCAGCCGGATCAGATGAAAGTCAGTATCCATATGAAAATCACAAAATATTATACTTCCCGGCCACAGGAAGTAAAGATAAAAGGTTATTACAAGTGGCGCGCTCTAATGGATTAATATTCAATAAACATAATAATGTATTCATATAATCTATATTATTATAAATAAACATGAAAATCGTGCCTTATATGGAAAAAACGAAAAAACTAAAGTGCAGAGCTTTAACGGATTGATTATAATAAACTATATAAATCTATACAAATAAATATGAATGTATTATTAAATAGCTAATCGGCTGACAGCACTGGCGTAACACCCCAGCTATATAGTTTGAAATAAATTGGTAATGTTGATGCGAGTAATGAAATTCCCATTCGAATATACCCTGCAATTTCCAATACAAATTTAAAATTTTAATAACATAGAATAATGAAAATTTATAGGTTTAAAAAAAATATTATTATTTTATTCACAGTGCAATACTCGAGATAAAAACATCACTGGCGTTCCCGGTGTTCCAGTGGCTATTGTACTTGGTGGTGCTGATTTGGTTTTTCATCGTTGCTATTTATCTGTCGTCCATGAAACTATACGTGTTTAAAGTCAAAGGCCTCGCCAACGACCACGACTGTTTTTGTAACAACAGTTATTACAAGGTATTTGGTCATCTTATATACCAAGTGTACATAATCAGCTATTATATTGTGTACGGCATCTGTGATAGTTAGCTAGTATAAAAAAAATAATAATTTACTCTCGTACTACTTAGGGCCAGTTGTACAGTCTGTGATTAAACTCCGATTACGCTTAATCAGCTGATAACAGATATTTAACCGGTCAAATTCGGCCGGTTAAACTGTGATTAACTTTAATCGCAGACTGTACAACTGGCCCTTACTGCATTAAATTATATCATTACTAACACAAAGGAGTGTATCTATATTTTAATCGGACGATATAGCACCGGCTGAGGCGGATCAACGTGCTAAAACAAATTTCGATTTCAGTTTGCACTTGGTTCTTTCCGACCCAGTCTTCTTCACCCGGCGCTATCGATTTTGTCGCTTCTGTATAGTGTCGTATGAATGATAAACGATTTGTTATGCGTATACAGTATAGTACAATACACAATATTGTATAGACATATTTTAAACACCGGACCTAACCTAACCCCATCCATTATGTTATTTAGATATTTTACTGCTCACATATTCTAATATTAATATTATAGTATTGACCTTGTACCTTGTTTTCAATCGATTAACTAATTAATATTTATAATGTGCTTTTTACAAGGACGGTGACTGGTGTACAGAGTCCAAATGGGAACGGTACTGCAGCGCCATAGGCAAAAACAATACCATGTGTAGAGTGGCCAAATGCGCATACGACCACACTGTGTCACAGGACTTCATCACAGGACTTCAGCTGTTCAATGTGTTCGGAATGTTGTGGCTGATGAACTTTGTGTCGGCATTCTCCCAAATGGTGCTGGCCATTACGTTCACCTCATGGTACTGGACGTTTCACAAGAAGGACGTGCCGTTCTTCTCGCTTACGAGTTCATTCTACAAAACAATCAGGTGTGTACCATTTACAATTGACCTCCCACGATCAAAAGTAGGTACGTTTAGTACATATTATATTAGATCGAAGGAAGAGATTTGTACTATCCAGAAGTTTTGATATGTCTGAGATGAATTAGGTTGTACCTTATTCCTATCAAACCCACCCACCTTCTTCCAATTATAAAATGTTTGGTTTAAACAATCGCTGTATGTAATAATGATAACAGAATATACGCAGTCATTGGTTAAACTATTTGAATTATCTTAAAATATTGTATATTGTATTTGTCTTGAAATATATAGAATTGAAAAATTTGACTCTAGAATATATACAAATACGTATTTTGATATAGGTATTGAATATTAATTGTCTGTTGTTAAATTGTAAACAATAAGTCAAATACAATAGACTTAAGTACCTATACTCATTACTCATTGTCTGCTTGCGTTGTTACCTGTGTATAGATACCACTTGGGAACAGTCGCTTATGGATCTCTGATCATCGCCATCTGCAACTTTATACGCGTGATACTTGAGTGGGTAGAAACCAAGTTGAAGAAGTACGACAACTCGTTCACCCGAGCCATATTCACGTGCATGCGATGCTTCTTTTGGCTGTTGAACAAGTTCTTGAGGTTCGTCAACAGAAACGCGTACATCATGTGTGCTATGTACGGGAAGAACTTTTGCACTTCGGCCAAACAGGCATTCGACCTGTTGTTGAGGAACGTGTTGCGCCTGGTGGTCCTGGACAGGGTAATATTTTTATAGCCAATTATTATTATTACTATAAATGAAATATGGTAATCATTTATATATATATATATATACATAATGTATATTTTATTGGTCTTGAGCCCGCCGACCATGATCATTAGTTATTGTAAGGGATTAGGGGTTATGGTTTTGTTGGGGTTTGTACGGTTGGTTTGGCAACTCGTGTATTTGTTTTTAAGTATATAGGTACTTCCAACGAAATCTCTGGACATTATTAAGAAGACATTTTCTTCGTTCTTTATTGTACAATATTATTATTAATCTTTCTAGTTTTCATGTGTTGAGACTTTTGTATGAAACCAGTTAAAGACTTCGATTTAAAAATGCAAAGTTCAGTTCTGTCATTCAACATTATGCAAGGTTGATTTTATGTATTATAAGATGTTATTCTTTAAAAAAAAATAGATAATTAAATCAAAGAATAATGTTATAATCATAAGTATAAAATTGGATTAAAAATATTGGACAAATAATAGTTGATGACATATTGTATACAACCGTTGAGACTGGACGTCGCAAGTCTCCACACCCCTCCATCATAAAAACCCCGCAAAAGATCCATTAAAGTATTATAAAACGTAACATTATACGTTTTCTAATACTGTATTAGTTGGGTAGGTACCAATTATAATTGTATGTACTGTTTCAGGTAACTGATTTTATATTTTTCGTGGGCAAGATCGTCATCATGGGTGCCACAATCGCGGCATTTTACTTCGAGTTTTACGAACCAATAGAGCCAATCAAAAAGATGGAGTTCTTTAATCAGCCAGTCCTCAATCATAAGTGGCTGCCGATGTTTATTGTGGCCGCCGGTTCTTGGGTGATATCGTCCACGTTCTTCCACGTGTACTCTATCGCTGTCGACACACTGTTCCTATGCTTTTGTGAGTACAACGATATGCAGATTATAAATACATAATATAATGACGATCAAAAACTATCAAATTAAACCAAAATCGGTTTGAAGTTAATAGTTTGATACGAGTCATTTTTTAAGGAAATATTCTGTTCAAATATTAATTAAATTAATATTAAATAAAAAAAAAAAAATGTCAAGTGAAAAGTGTGGTGTAAGCAATTCACAACTAAGTATATTATAGCACTCATGATTCTGGAATTTGGTACATAGGTAATAATGTACACGAGGATGTGAACTTCGAAGCCGATTTTTTTAATTTTGCATTTTGCTCATACGGATTTGCTCACGAAAATTAAAAAGTTATTATAATAAATTGGATACCATTTTATACTTGTATTTTATATATTCGGTCAAAATCACACAAATTCATGTGTTAAAAAAATTCGTGGTTTACAGTTCAATTAGTTCTAAACAAGGTACACGCACGGTCATTTAATTTTCAAAGGCCAAGCCACGAAATATCAGCTATAGGGCAATACCTACATATTTTATAACTGCAATGTGTGAACTCATTTTCATCTTTGTCATATTTATTCTGTTGCAGTGGAAGACTCCGAACGAAACGACGGGTCAGCTGATCGTCCTTACTTCATGTCGCGGAAGCTGATGAACATATTGGGAACGAGGAACGTGCTGTAATTTCCAATGCGTCTACAGAGCGACATGATTTAAATATTTTTAATACGTCATATTATATTAAAATTAAATTGTACATGCGATCATATTATACATAAACCTATATTTTTGTGCTGCCCACCGCTGACGCCGCCACGTGTGTTCGTGAAAAATATACAATGAATATTCACCCAATATAATAAGATATATAATACACTTATATATTGTATACCGGTTCCTCCTCATCCTCCCCTGCAAATGATGATGTTATTATTATAATTAACTATTTTATTTAATAATTTGTGTATGTTATTGTAATATAATAATAGTAAATTACGCAGGGTGTTTATTTTATCGTGTGCCGCATGCTGTAATAAGATATCTACTTCGAGAAACACAATTCGTTTTTTTAATATTTAACAAAAATATACTAATTAATATTTTTCTATGATTATTATACTATCAGTAAAGATTCTATTCTTGATATTGAAAAAATCCTTGTATCTTCTACCATATTGCCAGGTGACTTCCGATAAAATAATCACTCTGTATTGTTTATCACCTTATTATACGATAAATAATTTTAATTTTATACCACACAAAACATATCACATATATGTGGTGATAATATATACCATTATACCTATATATGATATTAATACCTAACCTCAGTGGTGGTACAACTAGTAAAATATAATTTCGGGGGAGGAGGGCTCCCAAAACCATAAGTCGTCTCGAGTGTAGTGATTACCTATATTTAACCTACCCCTACCTATTTAACTATTATTACCAAACAAATTAAATCATCGATATGATTGTCCTCAGCCTATCTAGTCGTGTCGCATTAAACATACAACTGAAGCAGTTGGTAAAGTGGTAATGTGGTATGCAGTATACAAGCTGGTATGTATTGTGGTTTCTCAGCAGCAATTATTGTTAAAGGGAGCGGAGTTCAATGCAGAATGTGAGGTTTAGGACTAGTCTCGGCAGCTGTATATCGTTATTTACGATAACATAAATTGTATCTACATTATACCTGCAGTTTGATATTACATAGACTTAAAAATAAAATGCATAAATAATATTATGTTAGTACTATTTGTACTCTATTACTCTATAGTGTATTGTTACTGTAGTAATACTCCATTTTTCGTTTAACTTTTATACATTTAAAAATATTGTCTAATTTTTTTTATGTCCTTAAAATCTGTGACCCCAAACCCACGTGATAATATATATTAGAATACTTTTATACGAATTTTAAGATGAGCTTATTTATATATGTATATTAATTTATTATACTGTATGCGCTTGGTAATTTAAAAAAAAAATGTTTAAAGGCTGTTATTTTGTAGTGTACCATAATCTATTATAATTATTAATATTATACATTTTAAATGCAATAAAAATTATTATACTATTAATATTATTTCTATGTTCCATTTCCATTGTATTTATAAGGGATGATAGGTACATTTGATATGTAGGCATGTGTCATTTTACAAGATAAAGTCAGTGTCGGTCTGGCCCACCTGGGTACTCGGGAATCATCTTTTTCAATATTAGGGGCCCATAGTCAAACGAGAAATCATTAAATCATTCGTGACTTGAATTATAACCGAACTTACATTGTAAAAATTGAACATGGTAACAATTCAAGCCAGGTTTATTCACACATTATAGGTACATAACATTATAATATATATTTATCGTCGGTACTAAAACTAGTTTTCAACTACAACGAAATAACTAACATCGTTATTCTTCATTTATTTAATTTTGATTGAATTTCAACTAACGATTTCTATAAAAAAATGAATTTTTTGAATCTAGTATGAACTTGAATTACATTTTCAATCCTCGACTATAACAGTTTATTAACATTTTGTAAATTTTTAAATACAAAATTATTTGCACATTTTATTGAATTTAATGAATGTTGTCAAAATCAAAATTTTAAATAATTATAAAAAAATCGGTGGACTATATAGGTACTATCATTAATATTTTTATATTTCCGTAATAAAAACATATTCAAAACCTTGATTGCAACGAAAAATGTCTTATCGACATTTATAGAAAAAAATTTAAATTTAAAACTTAAAATGTCTATAAAAAACTTAAAACATTAAAAAATGTTGAAAACCGTTTCATGGGCAGTGTACCATCAAATTTGTATTTGGTGAAAATTAAAAGTATCTACAGTCATTATTTTTAATACCAAAATGTCAAAAATCAATTCAGTTGAAATACAGGTGAATCCGGTATTAAAAAAATAAGAAATTCAAATTTCAAACTATCATTAAAAATAATTTGACCTTTTATTTCACTTTTGTTTTTACTTATTGGTAGACAACTTATAAGGAATATTGTATATACGTTTCTAACCTTAAGTATAAAAGTATTTTGTTTTTCATTAAATTCTAACTAGGTACTGAATAGCTTATAAATGTTCATGATCTTAACGAAAGTTATGAAGATCCTTATATTACACTTCAAAATTTTTTGATCGAGTAAAAACTATTGATAGACAATAATTGAAAACAAAATTTTAGGAAATCATTCAATTATCATACCTATAGCCTATATAAATAACTAAAAAAGAGTCTTAACATTTTGAAAATTTTATTATACAGGAAAATTGTTTTACGGCTAATGCATAAAGTATAATTTTTGTTATTCCACTTGCTCGCAATCAATCACATTTCAAGCATAGTACTAATGTTAGGTCATCTGATACATTATTCATATTTACTTATTAATAATCATTAACTAGTGACATCGTAATGCATTAACAAGCTGATGGGAACAGACAAATTTAGTAATATGTAATTAGAAAATTCGCAGGAAAGCATTAACATAAACAAATAAAGGAATTAATGAACATAATTCTATGAAGTGTCTGTCGAAACGCAGACACAATAATATTGTAAATTATTTAACTATTTTATATTGCCCTATTGATAAGAATGTTTTTATTTTATTTCCAATCGAAATATAGGTATATGTAAGTTTTGTTTAAATATATAGATACACTTGAGGAGATTATAAAACAATTAAAAAAAAAAAAAATACTGGGAATAAAACGTCAGTCAAATGACTAAATGGCAGATCAATTGGCATGGTGTGTTTGTGTGTTGCGAATGCTCACGAATCATATCGCCATCTCAGTTAAATGTGACCTTGTTTACTCATTCTGTAATCATTAACGTATCCCTTCCATGTCAAACACATGCAAAACGAAATCTATATACAAACACGGAGGAGATGGAAAACAAAAATAAGTATAAATAAAGTATGCGTGCGATACCAATGCGTATTACAGCTCAGTACTCTTTTACACTCAAAAGACAGCGGCTGTCGTATTTGTTTCAGACAAATATTCGAATTCAAAATTGTTACGACCGTTAAACAAGCCGATCATGATTTCGTTTCTGATCGACTGTTTGGTCAACAACGTTACCTGTCTGAGTTTAATCACCATTTTCACTGGCTTAATCTACTATCATTCGACTTCGACGTTTGATAAATGGCAAAAATTGAACATTCCGTTCATACCACCAGTGCCACTGTTTGGCAACATTTTCAAGATGATGATGAGACTTGAACTTCCGATTGACATGTCCGAAAGGGTCTACTACAAATTTACAGACGTCAAACTGTTCGGATTCTATGTGATGAGGGATCCAATGCTGTTCGTCCGCGACCCGGAGCTGATCCATACGATACTGGTCAAGGACTTCTCGTATTTCACCGACCGCGGTATGGACATGGATCCGGCCATGTCCGTGCTGGGCAATAGTCTGTTCTTCACAAAAGGTCAGAAATGGCGGACGATGCGCCAAAAACTGAGCCCGGGCTTCACTTCCGGAAAATTGAAGGATACGTATAGCCAAATCAACGAGTGTAGTGACGAGATGGTGTCCAGAATTGTTGAGACGCTCAGTAAGACCGATCGAATTGACGTGAAAACGGTGTTTACTGGTTTTTCTACGGACGTGATTGGTACTTGTGCGTTCGGCCTGAAGCTAGACGCAATCAAGAACGACGATTCAGACTTCCGTCGGTATATCAGGATACTGTTCCAAGTCACCAAGAAGCAGTTGATCGTCCAGATACTGATGATGTTTTGTCCATGGGCGATGAAGCTGTTAAAAATACAAATACTTCCAGTAGAGGCTACCAATTTTTTCTATAAGTTGTTCAGCGACGTCTTCGAGTACCGCGAAGAGCACAACGTGGTCCGCAACGATTTGACTCAGACCCTGTTGCAAGCGCGTAAAGAATTGGTGTTGAAAGAGAACTTGACCGGTGAAGGTACTATTGTTACTGTTAGGATGATTAATGAAGTATTTAAGGTTTAACAGCTTAACATTTTTCAATAATAATTTTTTTTTGGTCAAAGATAAAGGAATTCCATACTAATACCTATATAATATAATCAAGTGCTGCCTAAACAGCGAAATTCTTAACTGATAACTAATATCATAGTAAAACCCATAGTGAGCTACTCAATATTTTTCCCCTAAAAAAAAACCTATGAATCATTAATATGCGAATAAGTAACTATAACAACAACAAATCGGTCAGAAACGAAAAACGAGTATCCTGCCCGAGAACAAATTTATGTTAAAAAAGCAAGCAAGTATCACTGATCTGCTGCAAAGTATGAGTCAAGTGTTTCGCGTTATTGAGTAGACACTATAATTTATTGTTGACGTGTTAAATTTGAATATAATCATACATATTTGTGTACTGAGGTATTTGTTGTTGTTCAAATCCGCACAATAAAACGACAAAATATTATGACCTACAAGGCTACAATTAATACAATTTTTGAGTGTTAACTGTAAATGTTCGTTGCTTTATAAACTCGATATATTTGGTGTGTAATACACTTGCACTACACTGTAGTCCCCCATTCAAGCCGTTTCTATTTCTGTGGAAGTTACGTCGTTCAGACAAATTAATGAATAATCAATACTGTATACATAACTTGGTGGCACACATTTTTCTTATTCATTTTATCATGAAAGTTCCAAATTCCTCCTCTACATGATATATTTTTCACTAGTACGGAAAATCTGACAAATAATTAACTAATAGATTATAATATTTAGATAACAAAAAATATTAATTTTTTAAATGTCAATATAATAGTATTGAATAAATTTTCTGAAGGAGATTGGAAATCATTTTTTTCAAATAGTTTAGTGACTCTGTGCTTCTCATGCTCAGACATAGACATCAAAAATTACTATAATGTTGGTACCTAATTTAATTACAGGAGAGATTTTTTTTTTATATTGTAGTATAGACATACAAACATGACATTTTCCCTCGTTTCTTTTAAAAATTATTAAAAAAACATTTCATCTTTAGACCATAGTACAAATCAAATTTACTGTTAGATGTGTCCTTCAAAGTCAATTATCAGAGAATTTTTTCTACTGAAGAAATGTCTTCAGATACGAAAATAAAAGAAACACACACATATCATTGTAAAATCATCACTCCACTTACATTCTAAAATATAAATAAATATTGGTTTATTAGGGAAAAATTATTTTATACATTATAATATAGACACAACTTTTTTTATAAATTTCAAAAAAACGAAAAAAAAATGAGATATCCTGTCAATATATTTTATGTTAAAACAAAATTTACAAACATTCAGGAAGAATATTTACCAAATAAGTAAAATTGAATTAACCATCAGAAAATAAAACTTTAAAATATTTTAAATGTATTCCAAATATAATAAAAATATTTGAATATTATATATGTATCTGAAAAAGTTAGGTTTGTTAAGTTCATGTTTGCAGATGAATAATTTGCAATAATAATAGTAATAATTACTGTATACACTTCCATATTCTGTACTGCTTTATTTACGGAATAATTTCCATTTGAAATTGACGTAATTGCTATATACCTTATAGACATAATACATTGATCAGATTATATGGATACCACGTTAATTAGTATTAATTTATATTTTATGACTATGCTTCAGGTACATACACTTTTTTACACGGATTTTTTTTTGACTTGTTATTTGCAGATAAATTCACAGACGCGGATATCATCGGAAACGCGATACTCTTCTTCGCCGCAGGATCAGAAACTATTTCATCTACGCTTTCTTTTTGCCTATACGAATTGGCGTTTAACAAAGAAATCCAAGACAAATTACGAGCGGAGATATGTGCGAAGAATGCAAAACACAATGGACAGTTAAACAACGATTATTTGACAGACCTCAATTACACCAACATGGTTTTGGAAGGTATGACGATATATTTTGCTAATTATATGTGGGGTGATGCATCAATCATTTTATCACTACAACTTATTTTTTTCAATAATGAAGTCATTTTAAATCTTACTTTTTGTGTACATTTACTTACTTGATGATTATATTTTAAAATGGGTAATAAAGGGGCTTTTCATATGAAAGACAGCTGTTTAATTAATAATAATAATTAATAAAAAAATAGTTTTGTAAACTATATTAATAACCCGTAAGCAATCTAAAATATCAATAGGTCACTTATCTGTTTTCAGAGACTGCTCGCAAGTACACCATTGCTTTTAGTTTAATGAGAGAGGCTACAAAAACGTATACTCTACCAGACGAATCACTTGTGATTGAAAAGGGACAAAAAATCTTAATACCTATGTTCAGCATACATCGTGATCCAAAATATTACCCCGATCCCTTGAGATTTGATCCGGAGCGATTTTCTGCGGAACAAAAATCTCAACGACCTAATGGCACTTACATGCCGTTTGGTGACGGACCTCGAGTGTGCATAGGTAATATAATTTATAAATTTATAGTATTCAAGTATTATTTACCATGCCACGCAGTGGTGAATGAACAAACATGGTATGTAATAATTTCAATATTATATTATACAGGCAAACGATTCGCTGAATCAGAAATGAAATTGGCCCTGTCAAATGTCTTGTCAAAATTCGAAGTTTCGCCATGCGAACAGACCGAAATTCCTCTCCAACTAGCAGTTGCAGCATCCAGTTTAATATCACCGAAAAACAGTGTCGTGTTAAAATTTAGACCAATCATTGAATAATAATAATGAATTATTTGCAAACTTGTATTCCCATAACAATAATTTGTAACTAATTTCTTATGTATGTGTTATTGTGTTAATATGGTTTAGACACATACACACACACACAATCGTTGCCTTTTATTAACATAAATTACCTACTATTTCGTCAACATTTGAATTACTTTGTTCACTATTATATTTGAAATGTTTTCTTCAAAGCTATGACATTTTTTGTGGCACTAGTAATTTATTGTCATTATACAAGTTGTGTTTATAACTCATAAGTTGATATATTATTTTAGACCATACACCAGCTATAGTTATTGTAATATAATATGTATTTTAATTATAAAATATCGAAAATCTAAATCTTATAATAATAATAATACACACCGAGAGTACAACAATACCATGGTTACCGAATATTACTATATTAGTATCAATTTTAATTTAAATATTTTCTCGGGCTGCCGTGTCATAAAATATGTGTACAAGCGAGTACAATGTACACTTTTATTTTAATTAATAACTAATTTTCTTAATTTTTTAGTGGAAATTATTATTATTATTTTTTTTGTTGCTAATGGTGAATCGGGCAGAACACGTTTCAGCATGCATCAAATCGATTCTCGCACATTGCTTACCAAAGTGGCTGAGTTGCACTTACAGCCGCTCATCAGAGTGTCCACAATCAAAAAAAAAAAAAAATATATTATTCATATAATCATATATAGATAGTAGTATAGTATGCACCTAGGGAGGTCTGACAATACGAAGTGGCATTTTTAACAGGCAATGATGTGCAAGGGATCAGCTAGAATAATATAAAATCATTGTACATGAAAAATACTTTTAAGCTGAGACGGGTTGTCAGCCTATATTACACTAATTATATTTCATGATCTTTCTATTAAAGTTATTTATTTAAACTTTACCAAATGCATTCTATATAATTTTATATTGTTATTAATATTTAATTACTGTAATAGCATATATTTATATCACATCATATTATTGTTATTAACTCTTGAGTCAATATTAACTTACCGAAGAACACTGTGAGGTAAGTTCATGGTATAAATAGTTAATATTTTAAAATTAATCGAAATGTGTTGAAAATGCCATATTAAAATGCGTATATTAAAATAATTAATAAAATACATGTTTTTGAAGTACAAGTAGTACAACAAAATTACTAAACACAGTAGCCTTTTTTTTAATTTATAATTTTGTTGAAATTGGGAATTCATATGCAAAGAAAACAAATTATACTTCTATACTTATGCTATTCTATTTTTAGTTATAATGAAATATCTAAAATCGACTAATTAGATTAATTAAAAAAGGGTAAATTTGTAGGCGAATGTCCAATACTGTAAAAAATGATCAAAAATAACGTCAAACGCTTATAAAATTATACTGAAACAATGTATATTTGATAATTTGAATTAGTAAATTAGCTACTTATTAACTATATGGAACTGTGTATTAAATCATCAAACTTTTTGACTCAGTAATGTCAATATATATCACCACCTATAAAAAAGGCGGGTAAGTCGTAAGTGGATATCCCGATGTTGTACATTAGGTATCTACGAGGTCACTGTAATAGATGGTATTAAATTGGAATCAATGATAACAAATCATTTTATACGAAAATCGATTCTGAGCGGATACTGCATGACAGTTTAGGATATTTTATAATGTTATTACTTATTATTAGTATGGTAGTCGGTAAGTTGAATTAATATTATTCTTAAACTATCAGTGATGCAAGAAAATTATTAAATATACCTGTGTAAAATTGGGCTGTTTTGGAACTGAATTACAACAAAATGATAAATAGGGCTGTGAATTAGTAGGAAAGTGCAATTCTTTTTGGGGGGATTGTGAAACGTAAGTTTGGAAGTACATAATTTGAACTATGTAACTTCGAATCTATTTATGCAACTTTTATCTTGCATTTTTTGACATTTTTTGACATTTTTTATTGTTTAGGTCATTTTGTGTATTTTGTGTATTTTTAGAATTTTTTATTCTTTTTTTAGTTCATTTTCCAGTACTTTTAATCAAATTCCGTCAATTGACGGAAAAAATTTATATTAATACACAGGCAATATATACATCGATAAAATAAGGCAATTGCTAGATAACTACATAAGTTATTTGTAAGTTATTTATTTCTAAAATTTTTGAAAAATGTTTCAGGTGAATAGCATTAAGTATAGAAAATTCAAATTCAATCAACAGTTTTTTTTTTCATTAAATTAATACTTTTTTATGCATGTAATGTACTAATGTATATTATTATCCTGTACCTATAATAATAATATAAATATAAAAATTAAATTAAAATTCATTTTAAAGGAATTTTATACTATGCTTTTGGCATTTTTTGCATTTTAAGTGCATTTTTATTGCATTTTTTTGACATTTTTAATGCAGTTTTTAAGGTTCTTTAGTGCATTAAATTCACAGCCCTAATGATCAACGTTATTTTTTGTGTTAATATGCATTTTTGTCCAAATTTGAACTTAAAATGTCTGTAAAAAAGAACTGTATTTATAGATTGTTTAGATTTTTTAATTAAGCAGTTATCAAGTAATCAAGTCTTGTTTTAAATATTATGCTTTTTGACTAAACCAATAAAATTTTATATTGACATTTATACAAAAAAAAAAAATGAAAATTGAAAATGTCTGTCAACAGCTTAAAATGAGTCAAAATATCTTGAAAATGTTATCAAGTTTATGAATTTATGGAATAAACATTGGGTGTTATTTCAAATATCTACAGTAATTTGTTTTTGAATTAAAATAAAAAAACTACTACAAGAGAAATCGAGTGAATATCCAATGTTGTAAAATTGCAAACTTTTAATGCTCGTAAAATTTAATTTGACTTTCCGGTAGAAATTGTATTTTTATAAAGGTAGACAAACTTGTTAGGAATCTGTATAATATTTTTAAATCATAGATATAAATAGAAATTTTTTGTGAATTTCTAACTAAATATAATTTGCTAATTTTTGTGACTTTTACGAATTTTGTCAAAACTCTATAAGTTTAAACGCTCATAAAAATCTATTATGGATCTAAGCTAAATTTCTTTTTAAATTTCCATTTATAACAACTTACAAGGAACCTTGTATTACATTTTCAAGTTTATTGACCGAGCGAAAATATTTTTATCGACTCGAGTCAGGCATGACGTTATTCGCATATTTTGTTATCATCAACGTATCCCTTCTTTTCCATGCACAGACAAAATTATACCAATAATCGAGAAAGAGATAGACATAAAATAAGTTCGGGAAACCAACATGCTTAATATGTGCGTATCACATCGTGCAGTTTTTTTCTGAACGAAGGTGGTGACTGTCGTGCTTTTTTCCGATAAACGTTCAAATCAACAACTATACCGCTGCTTTGAAACAAGGCTATGATGATATCGTTTATGATCGACTGTTTGATCAATCACGTTACCTGTGTGAGTTTGATCACTATTTTCACGGCTCTATTTTACCATTATTCGACTTCGACGTACGGTAAATGGCGAAAATTGAAAATCCCGTACGTGCCTCCAGTGCCACTGTTTGGCAACACGTTCAAAATGATGACGAGACTTGAACATCCGATTGACACGCTTGAAAAGATTTACAACCAGTTTCCGGATCACAAACTGTCCGGGTTCTACCAGATGATGGAGCCGATGCTGTTGGTCCGCGACCCGGAGCTAATCAACAGGATACTTACCAAGGACTTCTTGTACTTCACCGACCGCGGTATTGACACCGACCCGTCCACGTGTAACCTGGCCAAGAATCTCTTCTTGTCCAACGGACAGAAATGGCGGTCAATGCGGCAAAAGCTAAGTCCAGGCTTCACTCCCGGCAAGTTGAAGGACACGTACAGCCAAATCAACGAATGTGGCGACGAAATGGTCTCTAGCATTGTCGAAACGATCGAGAAGAAGACCGACCACATCGATTTAAAAACATTAACTGGGAGATTTTCAACAGACGTGATCGCCACCTGCGCGTTTGGCCTAAAGCTCGACTCGATCAAGAACGGTGATTCGGAATTTCGACGGTACGTCAAGATGCTTTTCACGAACACTCCGAAACAGATGTTTGTAATGTGGCTGTGGATGACCTGCCCCAAGGTGATCAAGTTTTTAAAACCTAAATTCTTTCCGAAGGAAGCTATGAATTTTTTCCATAAGGTGTTCTCCGACGTTATCAAGTATCGTGAAGAGCACAACGTGATTCGGAACGATATTACGCAGACAATGATTCAGGCTCGTGATGAATTGGTGTTGAAGAAAACTTCGACAACCCAAGGTAGGTATTGTGTTCCAGGCTGTTATAGTTAAAGTAGTATTTTACGGTAAAGTTAAACAACAAAAAAACACGTAACTTAATATATAAACAGACATATAGGTAGATAATTGAGAAAACAAATAAGTTTAATACAAGAATAATAATTCTATATTACAACCAGTAAATTTATAAAAAATAATTTAAACATATTTACATGAACTAACTAACCTAAATTTGAAGATATAATGGAGATAATACTTTGAAAATATCTATTATTGTTTGATTATATCAAATACTATTTTGTCACATAAACCTAAATAGATAATATTTAAATAAAAGGTTTTAATTTGTATTGCCTTATTTCCCTAAAAAAAATAATAGAAAGTACTACATAATACTATATATACTGCTAAATTACAGATACTTCTCAGTCGTCAACGACAATCGACACCTTCGACCTACTATACAGCGAAGTGGTTAAGCTTTTGAAGATTTTTTTTATTATTTAATTATGTCGAATAAGTAACATGTGAAAAATGTACATTTGCTATTTGTACCTAAAATATTATCAATATTATTCTAAGGAAATACATTTTATCATTCCAACATAGTAAATACATATTTTTTTTTTTGATTAAGGCTTCAGTTACTAAGGTCATTAGTCTGGTGATGTGTGGAGGGGGGACGGTTGGAACACGTTTGTATGTGTGGCAAGAATGTGTTGCTAAAAACCCGGATGGTCACCCATCCGAGTGTTAGCAACAAAGGCCGTACGTACGTTCAGAGTGTTGCCACAGATTGAGCGTACTACCACGCCTCACCAAGCCACTAAGTACATATTTTAATTATTATTTTGTATTCTACTGATCTTTGAATGATAATATTATATTTCTAAACAATATAACTAAACTAACTGCCTAAAAATAAATATTTAAATAGTCAATACAATAATATAATTAATTATATCACCTACATATTGATATAAATTATGTTTAATGACCGGCATCATTCAGGTATGCAAAAATAATAGTTTTATTAATACATTTTTTTGCAGTTAAATTTACCGACGATGATATCATCTGTAACTCTGTTTTCTTTTTCTCCGCTGGTTCGGAAAACATTTCGTCTTTGCTATCTTTTTGCCTGTACGAATTGGCGCTGAACAAAGAAATTCAAGACAAATTACGTATGGAGATATGTTCGATGAAAGCAAAACACGATAGAATGTTAAACAAAGATTATTTGACAGACCTCCATTACACCGACATGGTTTTGGAAGGTATGACGATATATTTTGCTAATTATATGTGGGGTGATGCATCAATCATGTTATCACTACAACTTTTTTCTTCAATAATGAAGTCATTTTAAATATTACTTTTTGTGTACATTTACTTACTTGATGATTATATTTTAAAATGGGTAATAAAAGGGCTCCTCATATGAAAGACAGCGGTTTAATTAATAATAATGCTACTGGACAACAATTAACTTTATAAGTACAAAGTTAAAACAAATCTCAAGAATATTGGAAAAAATGGTCTTAAGGAATATAAAAAATTCCTAAAATCAGAATTTATTTCAATTGATTATAAAAGTAAAAAATGTGGGTGAGCATGATTGTTGAAATGTCTAATGTATTATAATTCAGTTCTATGCACCTAGGACCTAAGTTATTATTTTATGTGATTTTATTATATCAATTGTTGAAGTATAGTTCTTGTTTATTTAAGTTTCTTTAGTTAGAGCAATCCATATTCATTAGCTATATTTAAATGATTATATTATAATATAGTATGTGTAACTCAAATATTAATTCTTTTTCATAAAATATTAACTGTTGAATATCAGTGTCCATAATTTTGTCTATTATTAAATTTGAAATATTCAATTAAAATTAATAAAAAAATAGTTTTGTGAACTATATTAATAACCCGTAAGGAATCTATAATTTCAATTGGTCATTTATTCGTTTTCAGAGACTGCTCGCAAGTATTCTATTGTTTTTATTTTAATGAGACAGGCTACAAAAACGTATACTCTACCAGACGAATCACTCGTGATTGAAAAGGGACAAAAAATCTTAATACCCATGTTCAGCATACATCGTGATCCAAAATATTACCCCGATCCCTTGAGATTTGATCCGGAGCGATTTTCTGCGGAACAAAAATCTCAACGACCTAATGGCACTTACATGCCGTTTGGTGACGGACCTCGAGTGTGCATAGGTAATATAATTTATAAATTTATAGTATTCAAGTATTATTTACCATGACACGCAGTGGTGAATGAACAAACATGGTATGTAATAATTTCAATATTATATTATACAGGCAAACGATTCGCTGAATCAGAAATGAAATTGGCCCTGTCAAATGTCTTGTCAAAATTCGAAGTTTCACCATGCGAACAGACCGAAATTCCTCTCCAACTAGCAGTTGCAGCATCCAGTATAATATCACCGAAAAACAGTGTCGTGTTAAAATTTAGACCAATCATTGAACAATAATAATGTATTATTTGCAAACTTGTAATCCCATAACAATAATTTGTAACTAATTTCTTATGTATGTGTTATTGTGTTAATATGGTTTAGACACACACACACACACACACACACACACACACACACACACACACACACTATTTTGTCAACATTTGAATTACTTTGTTCACTATTATATTAGAAATGTTTTCTGTGCAATTTTTTGTGGCACTAGTAATTTAATGTCATTATACAAGTTGTGTTTATAACTCATAAGTTGATTTATTATTACGCCAGCTTTAACTATTGTAGTATAATATGTATTTTAATTATAAAATATCAAAAATCTGAATGAAATAACAACACCTTTTTATCTACAACTGAAACCTTATATTTTATTAAATCAAACACATTTTTATTTTTAAAATATTAGGCATTTCTTTATGTCAGGTAGAATACATTGATTTAAATTGATTTCTGGACCATAATATATACATCGTTTACTCGATATCCGATCAACCTAATTCATACTATATACAAATATTGAAATATTATATATGAATTTGTGGATGCGAGAAAATAGCGTAAGTGTAAGACTGTAAGATAATTAGAATAACTTATCTTGAACTCTCAGACCAGACAGTGAAATTTTAGATCAACGTTTCAACTGAATAAATAATAAGAAAACAAATATTCTTACATTAAGAATATAGCTGTGGCAATCTAGAGTCTGAAGACATCCAGAATAGTCGTTGACATAAAAATGTTTAATAGGTATAGAATTAGAAATTATAATAACTACGTAAGCGACCATTCACACAAAACAATTAAAATTAATGAATATTAAAATGAATTGTCTGAAAACAACCAAACAGAAAACAATATTTTTAATGTTTCTATTATAATTTTCAATCAAAATCACCGAGTGACTTTTCTACAGACATGTAGTATAATGACTTTAGTATAATTTTTATTGTAATTTGTATTTTATAAATAATATTATTTTATTAAACAAATTTTTTAATGTTTTGTTTATATAGTATTGTCATACTTTTTTTTAATATGTTTTATAATTTTTAGATTCTGAGCGGAGCGATGAATGTATCGATTTCACAATGATGTGTGTTTTTATATTAATTTATTTATTTTTGTTGTTGTGTCTGTCATCAAGGTTTCTTGCAGTAAAAGTGCTTCGATTTTCTTCAACATGTTGCTGCAGCAACTTTTTTGGTAGGAAAGTGAATCTAGTAGGTGCATTCGGGAGGTCAAAATTTTAAGTTCTCAATAGTTTTTAAAAGCAACCGGAAAAACAAACAAAAAATGAAGGAAAAACGGGAATTTTTACTCAAAACCAGTTTTCGAAAAAATCAATTTTGGTTTTAAGTGTAACTCTAACCAAAATTACCGTAGATACATGACATTTTCACTAAATATTTGTGCAAGTATTTTCTATACACCATACAATTTTTAATTTATTTTGATTGGTGCTGAACTTTTTATAGGAATATAAAAATTTTCAATTATTTTTATTTTTTAAACTCAAGTCGATAAAAACATTTTTCTTCTGTCGAAAAACTTTATTGTGTATTTTTTGTTGATTTGTATGGTTTTTATTTTTACTTTATTGCGATTGATAAGATCTATTATGGGTGCAGTATATTTAATTATATTGTGTTGTTGTTTGGTATCTACTATTAAAGAGAGTTATGAGTATTTATAAATTGTAAATTGTTTGCACAACTTAAAATACTCATATCTCTCTTTAAAATTAAAATATAATAAAAAGCCCATTAGAAGCCCTTCGTAATAATCTCACCTTTAATTTTAATAAGAGGTCAATTCACTCTAATTTTTAAACTAACCGAGTTAAACGTGATCTGCTGAACGTAGAAATTGATATGTTACGCTCTTGTAAGACGGAGACAACACATGCGGGTATAGCGTCCTCTTAATAATTTATGTTACTGTAAACAATGTCCCTAAGTTGCCTATATAACGCGCCGTCTTAAATTTAAACATGATTTTATTATATTAATAATATATTTATTTTATAGATTCATTTTATTCTTGTCTCTAAAAATAAATTAGTAAAAATATTTCAATTTTAAACTTCTAGCACTTTTTGCTTTCTAATAATCAAACAAATCTATTAGGTATTTTAGTGGTGGGGCTGGGAGCAATTGAAGTTGAAAAATAGTTTAATCTAAATTATGACAAAAATAAAAATAAATTACTAATACCAATGAAAATGAAATGTATTAATATTAATATTAATATTTTTATACAATATTCTTGTGATGCTATATTTATTATAATGATCTACAACTCTTTTTTGATGATCTATACCGTCGACCAGTTATAACTACGATAATCACGTGATTAGTTAAACCCTTTTAACTATAATTACAAGAAAAGTAGAATTGAGAGCCACCCAGCCACTGCAATTATGAATCAAAGTCAACTTCAAATCAACATTGACTCATCTATAAGACTATTAATCACAGATAGTTAAATGTTATAAACCCACAAACCTTATCAACCACATTAAATGTACATTGTATATTGTACAAAACAAAACTGTGATATTAAGTGAGTCAATGTTCCACTTTAATTTAAAGAATTAGTCTTAAAAACATAAACATGAATCTGCTCAACATTTCTTAAAGATATTAAATTGTTTAGTAATCTTATAGAAACAACATTTTAACTTCAAATGTATCGAAAAAAATCGTGCCTGAGTATATTTAATGTTTTCAAATAACTATAATATCAACATAATAGGAACCTTGTATGAAACTTAAAAACTTTTTGAATGATAAACATTTGTCAATAAATTTTTCGTCGATATTTATAGAAAAAAAAGTTGAAATTTCGAATGTGAAATGTTTAATAAGTAGACAAATGAGTCAAAATATTTTAAAAATAATACCATATATAGAAAATGCTAGTATCATTTTTTGTTGCACATTTTAAATATTTAAGATGACTGTTTTTCACTTGTTTGAATAAAAAAATTTATTTGAAATTTAACCTCTAAAAAGTACCAATATAAGGTCTTATTTTTCCATTAAAATCACACTCAAACTTAAATATCGAAACATTTTTTTCTACTGTAAAATATGTGTATACACAATATATTTGAGTGTTCAATTACCGACATAGTCATTAAAACATGAAGAAGCGTTTAATAACACTTCTATTCTTTATAATATTATAACAACGCCAAGAGTAAATTCGAAGTATTTATTTATTAGATAACATGATGAAAGCATATTCATATCCGTATAGTGTATTCCTATAAATATCTATTAAGTAAGGTTTTGTTGATATTATTAAACTTCAAGTTTAATAAATATTGAAATAATCACAATAGTTCTTGAATATTTTAAGTAAACAGTTTCAGGCCTTATGACCAGTATTCAATTATGTTTGTTAATAACAATAAAAACCACTAAAAAACTCATTAGGTATAAAACAAATTCAACAATATCTTTCTAAGAAAGACAGAAAAATCTGTCTTTTCGAACAATCTTTCTATTAAAGTAATTTATTTAAATTTTACCGAATACTACATTACATTACATTACATTACATTACATTACATTACATTTATATATTTTTATATTGTTATTAATATTTAATTACTACATAATAGCATATATTTATATCATATTATATTATTTTTATTAACTCTTGAGTCAATATTAACTTACCGAAGAACACTGTGAGGTAAGTTTATGGTATAAATAGGTTATATTTTAAAATTAATCTAAATGTTTTGAAAATGCCATTGCGTATATTAAAATACTTAATAAAATACATGTTTTTGAAGTACAAGTAGTACAACAAAATTACTAAACACGGGAGTTTTTTTTTAAATTTGTAATTTCGTCAAAATTGGGAATTCATATGTCTAGAAAAGAAATTGTGATTCTACACTATATATGCTATTCTATTTTTAATTATAATAAAATATCTAAAATCGATTAAGAAAAACAGGGTAAATTTACAGGTGAATGTCCAATGTTATAAAAATGTTCAAAAAAACGTCAAAGTTTATAAAATAATACTGAGACAATGTATATTTGATCATTTTAATAAGTAAATTGGCTACTCATGAACTTTGGAACTGTATATTCAACAAACATTTTGACCCAGCAATGTCAACATATCGCATCACCCATAAAAAATCAAGCAGCTGTATTATATAATATAACTTTTTTTACATTTTTATAAAAGAAATATCATGAGGAATCTTTTATTTTATTTTCGAAGTAAAAAGTAAAAAAAAATTGTACAACAGTATAAAATTATTATAAATAACATTATAAAGAGTTAAAAACTCAAATATTATTACATTACTCTACAATTGTCTATTATCTACAGTCTAAACTCTCGAACCGTAGAGATCAAACGCATGACGTTATTCGCATATTTTGTTATCATCAACATATCCCTTCTTCTCCATGCACAGGCAAAATTATACCAATAATCGAGAAAGAGATAGACATAAATTAAGTCCGTGAAACCAACATGCTTAATATGTGCGTACCACATCGTGCAGTTTTTTTCTGAACGAAGGTGGTGACTGTCGTGCTTTTTTCCGATAAACGTTCAAATCAACAACTATTCCGCTGCTTTGAAACAAGTCTATGATGATATCGTTTCTGATCGACTGTTTGATCAACCACGTTACCTGTGTGAGTTTGATCACTATTTTCACGGCCTTATTCTACCATTATTCGACTTCGACGTACGGTAAATGGCGAAAATTGAAAATCCCGCACGTGCCACCAGTGCCACTGTTTGGCAACACGTTCAAAATGATGACGAGACTTGAACATCAGATTGACACGATTGAAAAGATTTACAACCAGTTTCCGGATCACAAACTGTCCGGGTTCTACCAGATGATGGAGCCGATGCTGTTGGTCCGCGACCCGGAGCTAATCAACAGGATACTTACCAAGGACTTCTTGTACTTCACCGACCACGGTGTTGACATAGACCCGTCCTCGTCCCCGCTGGCCAAGAGTCTCTTCTTGTCCAGCGGCCAGAAATGGCGGACCATGAGGCAAAAGCTAAGTCCAGGCTTCACGTCCGGCAAGTTAAAGGACACGTACAGCCAAATCAACGAATGTGGCGACGAAATGGTCTCTAGCATTGTCGAAACGATCGAGAAGAAGACCGACCAAATCGAATTGAAAACATTAAGCGGGAGATTTTCAACAGACGTAATTGCCACCTGCGCGTTTGGCCTAAAGCTCGACTCGATCAAGAACGGTGATTCGGAATTCCGACGGTACGTCAAGATGCTTTTTACGAACACTCCGAAACAGATGTTTGTAATGTTGCTGTCGATGACCTGTCCCAAGGTGGCCAAGTTTTTAAAACTTAAAATGTTTCCGGAGGAAGCTATCAATTTTTTCTATAAGGTGTTCGTCGACGTTATCAAGTATCGTGAAGAGCACAACGTTGTCCGGAACGATATTACGCAGACCCTGATTCAGGCACGTGAAGAATTGGTGTTAAAGAAAACCTCGACCACCGAAGGTAATATGATCCAGGATATAATAATTAAGGTAGTATTTTACGTAACTTAATATATTAACAGGCATATAGGTAGATAATTAGGAAAAAAAGAAGTTTAACATAATAATAAGTCTATATATTATAACCAGTAAATTTATAAAAAAATAATTCCAGTTTGAAGTAGTGTCAATGGACGCACCCTTCAGTCAAGCCTCCAAACTTTGTAAAAAAAAAATAATTATAATATATTTTCACGAACTTTCAACAGCTAACTTAAATTTGATGATATAATAGAGATAATACTTTGAAAATATCTATTATTATTCGATAACATAAAATACTATTTTGTCACATGTACCTAAATAGATAATATTTAAATAAACGGTTAAATTAAAATGTCCTTATTTCCCTCAAAAAAGTAATAGAAAGTAATGTACAATACTGTATATACTACTAAATTACAGATACTTCTCAGTCGTCATCGACAATCGACAACCTACTATACAGCGAAGTTGTTACACTTTTGAAGATTTTTTATTATTAGTTAGATTTTCAGTATGTATAACACATATCAAAGGGGACATGTAGGTAATTATTTTCTTTAATAATTAATTATGTCAAATCAGTCACATGTAAAAATTGTACATTTGCTATTTCTACCTAAAATATTATCAATATTATTCTAAGGAAAAACATTTTATTATTTCAGCATAGTAAATACATATTTTAATTATTATTTTATATATTTTGTATTATACTGATCTTTGAATAATAATATTATACTTCCAAAAAATATAACTAAACTAACTGCCTAAAAATAAATATTTAAATATTCAATACAATAATATAATTAATTATATTACCTACATATTGATATGATTTATGTCTATAGACCGGTATCATTCAGGTGTACAAACATAATAGTTTTATTAACACCTTTTTTTTTGCAGATACATTTACCGACGATGACATCATCGGTAACGCTATTTTCTTGTTCTCCGCTGGTTCGGAAACCATTTCGTCTTTGCTATCTTTTTGCCTGTACGAATTGGCGCTAAACAAAGAAATTCAAGACAAATTACGTGAGGAGATATGTTCGATGAAAGCAAAACACGATGGAGTGTTAAATAATGATTATTTGATGGACCTCCATTACACCAACATGGTATTAGAAGGTATTAAAATTGTCGAGAATAATATTATTTTATATGATCATTCAACTCTAAGGGCTTCGGTTGTTATATCCTGCTTCGTTTATACAATATGTAATGACTATTTAAATATTTTAAATATTTCTTTTTCAGAGAATGTCATACCCACGTCAAATTATTCTGTCTTAGTAACACATGATATACCAATATTTACTTTCAGCAGTTTTAATTTTATGTTGTTAGCGAAGCCTTGAATATTGGATTTTTACGATATACTAATTTGTAACTTTGTAAGTGAGTTATGAGTACATACAGCAAAATATCGTAACAACCAACGAGGGTACACAGATAATATTCTAATAATTTACTATTTATAAAAACTGTCAATACGTCAAATGAAAGCTAACAACACAAAATAGTAACTGCTGAAAGTACATTTTAGTACGTTATGCGTTAAACGGAGTTGTAAGTTATATGCTAGTTACACAGAGACAATTTAATATACGGCATGAATTTCTCTTAGAGTTTCAACGATTAGAGCAATACGTTATTTTGATTAAATAAATATAACATTATACGAATAATACTTAGAAAATATGCAATTCTGGGTTCTTTGTGTTAATCATAAATGATCATTAGTGAGAGTATTAGAGTATGGTCTTACCCGTAGAACCAGAGCACATATTGTAGGCACGCACGTCGTGTCAACAGCACACATGAATGAAAAGAGTGAATTTTTGTTAAAAACACGGTTTACAGGAAAAACTCCAGCACTTGATCCGATTTAAATAGTTTTTTTTTTCTTAGACGTAGATAATTTTCTACAGAGTGCAATGGAATTTGATTATTGATTACGTTGCTTAAAACTAAAAAATTAAAATTAAATAAAATTTTTGAAAATTAATAACACTCAAAATTTTATTATAGAGTTTATAAAAATAACTAAGGGTCAAAGTCCAATTCTCCCTATAAAATATTTCAGTTTCTAGGAAACAAAAAATAACTTATATTGGATAACTCTACTGACATTAGAATTTTTCCTGTAAGGCAACTAATTGAGCAAAAAAAAACAAGTAAAGCTGTTCCCTTGATACATAAAAAATAATAATAATTATTCCTTTTGTTTGCAAATGACTTTAGCACCATTATACGTAGATGAAAAAACTTAAAATAAACAAATACAATTTAAATAAAAATAGAAGGTGAGAGATTGTACTAATTAAATCCAAGTGTTTAAACTAAATTTCTAATCAAAAGAAATTGGTGAAACTCTGTTGTAATATTTTGACACTTAACATAACATTTTCGTCAATAACCTTATTTGTGGGGGGTGGTGCAGTGTACTATAATAGTGGTTGGCCATAGTCACTAACGTCTGCTAAGGTCAAGCATCAGCTTGCGTCAGCTGTTCCAAGATTGGTGACCACCAGGGTTTTTAGTGACAAATCTTCGTTCTGTGTACACGTGTTCTGAACCAATCCCCTACTAGTACAGTATTAATCCCCTGGGTTTAGTAAAAACAAGCTAATAACCACACCGTTGATATCTTAAAAATGAAAAAATCTTATACTCACTTTGTAAAATAAAATAAAAATATACGCAAGTTATTTTGTACGCAATTAATATAACGTAACTAATAATCCTAAATTTCAAATTGTCACTTAACGTTTTTTAGAAACTGGACGCAAGTACTCCATTGCATTTAACATAGTAAGAGTGGCTACAAAAACATATACATTACCTGACGAATCATTTGTTATTGAAAAAGGACAAAAGATCATCATACCGATGTTCAACATACATCGTGATGCTAAGTATTATCCCGATCCATTGAAATTTGATCCGGAAAGGTTTTCTATGGAACAAAAATCTAAACAACCTAATGGCACTTACATACCGTTTGGTGACGGACCTCGACTGTGCTTAGGTAATATTATAATTTATATTCATATTTTTATCTAATTTTATCGTATTATGAACTTCACTCGTATGCATAGTAAATTGTACATTGATAAATGAATGTGTAGTGTAACGGACGATCGATTTTTTCAATTCGTGTATTATATTGTATTTAGGCAAGCGATTTGCCGAATCAGAAATGAAATTGGTCCTGTCAAAAATACTGTCAAAATTCGAAGTACTACCATGTGATCAAACCGAAATCCCACTAGACATAAGAAGTGGATCAGGATTAATTTCACCAAAGAACGGCGTTGTATTAAAATTTAGACCAATCATTGAGCATTAATCATAATTAGTTAGGTACTTTTACATTATTTGTATTCCTGAACGATGATTCCTTATGATTAACTGTCATAATATTTACAAATATTATTTATGTATTTGCAAGAAAAAAAGCTAAAGAAGTAAAACATTATATTGGTAAAACAAGACTGGACCGTATCGACTATCAATCCGTTCAATCACAACTTTCTAGATTTTCAAACGTTCCCGCCTTCGAAACGACACCTCCAAAGCCTCTTATCACAAATCCTTATCACCTTCTCTGACTTTTGAGGTTCAACCCAACTACGGACGCGACTTTCGTAATTGCAACGACTCAGTGTCGGTGGACCGAAATCCACTTTCAGCCCTCTCGGGGGGTCTGAGGGTCTCCTTCAACGACGCCCGGAGAGCTAGTATTTAAATAAAACATATTATTTGGGGGGTCCGAAATCCACTTCAGGTAGATTGCCTACCTAATAATATACTGCTCGCGTCATTACCAGCGAGTTTCATATAGAGTTGGCATTTTTAAAGGGACAACGAAGTGCACGATACCAGCTAGAATATAAATAATATGAACATTTAAAAATCAATTTTTTTATAACATTAATAGAAAAATATTGGAATTATTAACATACTGTTTTTTTAACTACTATTGCAATTATGTACAGAAACAATATAAAACGATATTAAAAATATTTTGACTTGTCTTGAGCTGTTAACTTCAGTTTCATAAAATCTTATTTGTCAGGTTAAAAAGATTGAAATTTGAATACAAGGCTCCTAATATATTGTTCTAATGACAGTTGAAAAATTTGAAAAAACATGGTCACAATATTTTTTATGAACATTTTAATTTCAAATAACCTCAATTCCACCTTATTGTAGTACTAATGCAACAGTAATATAAATTACTTTAATCACATCTTCACACAGCATCGTTGTTCTTATACAATGATTCTATATCATTAAATTAAAATTTAACACCTCCATTGCAGATATTCTCTAGACATCTGATGTACTGCAGCAGAACGATACCCACTTACCCACTTTTAAAAGATTATTCTATTTGTAATTTGGTTGGGAATTCCGAAATAGGAATTGAGTACTAAATAATAGTGCAAAGAAAATTATAAAAGTCAGATTGGTTAGAGGGGGGGGGGGTTAATGTACGTCAATAATATTATATTATAATATGCCATGCCGTCGATAGTCATTGTGTGCCGCCATAATTTATTACATTTAATAATTTATCGTAGAAGCTTATTAGAGTCTACAGAAAATATTTATTCACAAGACGTTACAAGTAGTATACATCCTTTCACCACTACACATAATAACGTAGCCAACGTAGGATAAACTAAGACAGTAGTATAATTAATTTATAAATTATGATGAACAATGAGCATGCTACAGATATACAATAATAACAACAATAATAGTCATGATATTTTAGGGTTTTTTTTTAAAAATATATAGTTTGTAGATAAATTCACCGACACCTATATCATAAGTAAAAGCTATTGTTATGTTCACGGCTGGTTTGGAAACCGTGTCATCTATACCTACTATATTTTTTCTTGTATGAATTGGCACTAAACATGCAAAATCAAAACTAATAAATAAATCATAATATGCTCGATGAAATCAAAGCACGACAACAAAGATTATTTGAAAGACCTCTATTATAGATACCAACATAGTATTAGAAGGTATTAAAAATTTCGAAAAAAATATTATATTATACTACCAATCATCTATAAGTGCCTGGTTGTTCTTGATTGCGTCGTATGACGTATATACAATATATAATGACGATTTAAATGTCGTACTGATGCAATACTTTACCATTGTCGAAACATAATATTTACTTCAATAATCTTGCATATACTTAGTAAAATAAGATAAAAATATATAAAAATTATTTGTTTTGTAGACAATTAATAATACATAGGTTAAGCATCTTAATGGGTTGTTTATCGTACTTTAGAGGCGGCTCCCAAGTACTATATTGCATTACGTTTTAGCATCATAAGATTGGCAACAAATAAGTACACCACCAACATCATACAATTTATAAAAGAAATACAATTATACAACTTAACCAAGTAGTACCGCAATGTAATCACAACACTGTAAACTAATTTTAAGTTAATGTCAAACTAATGGCCGGATCAGCCGATGGCTTATGTAAATATCAATAATAAAAAAAACCATACTCTCTAGTATAAATCATTTTTTATTGAAAAAGGTTAACAATTCATAATACCTACCAATGTTCCGCTTACATTGTGATTCGTGACCCAAAATGATGTACATAGCTGATGAGATTCGATAGGTAAAGATTTTCTGTGGAACAAAAATATCAACCACCTAATGGCACTTATTTGCCATTTGGCGACGGAGTGACAGACCTCGAGTGTGCATAGGTAATGTAATTATGTATAAGTACTTAATACTTACACAATAAATTCTTTATCATCCATATAGTCTTCAGCGAAACTATGCACAACAATACTTAATAAACATAATATTTACTTATGTACATATCCTATAATATTATGAAATCATTTTATTTACACAGCTTGTATCATGTGATTGAATAAAAATAAAATGTGTCCTTATTTAATATTGTCTTTAAATACTTTTTAATATGACATAATGTAATTTTTTTAAGTTATATAATTTGATACATTTTACGTTTTATGTGTGTGCATATATTTATCAGATGTATCTAATATTATTATAAACATGAATTACGCATACCTAACACGTTAGGATTATAATTTACTGACCACGACACGTGGCCTTTTCATTGCCATAGAAGAACCACCCTCGCATGCTATACTTAAAGGACAGCCGTTATGGTCTAACACATACTCCACGAATGCCACCAGTTCAATGAAATGAGCATAAAACAGGAACTACCAGATTCTCTGTATGAGATACTGGCATCCACTGCCGGGACGCTGAGAAAATTAATGAATTTGATCAACGAAACAGAACTGGAGTTCTGGAATGGATCATTGAATTTAAAAATATTTCTTAAAAAAAAAAAAAAACAATGTACCAATATAATAGTGATTAAGTAATTTAATGTAATTTCATTTAGTGTAATAAAATGGAAATTAAAACATGTGACGCAAGCTAATAACATCGTAGTTAATGCCTCAAAACAATGAATAGCAAAAACAACTACGACAGTGCCGATTTCAACATTTAAAAATTAAAATAATAAATATAAAGATATATACATGTCCCATACAGCTACACCTAGTGTATAATATATATATATTCTTTTTTCTATTGATCTAAAGCCCTGAATGGTAAATGGCCATTAGCTGTTTGTAGGGGAGGAGGTACCGTTGATCTGGAACACATATTTGTATGTATGGTAAAGATTTAGTTACTAAAAATCGCGGGTGGTCACCCATCCGGGATCTAGCAGCGCCGGCCAGTGTGTTCACTCGGAGAGAGTAGACACCACGCCACTATCATATTATATTCTCCTTTGTCTCGTTAATATTTCAAATTCTTCTTGTTTCACTATTGAGACTTATTTTCAACATTTTTCAACTGCTTGGTTTTACTATATAAACCACAGCAGGTAATTAACTATCAGTTATTATCATACAAGTTTTGTGGGCTTATTGATTAGTATATTTCTGTTTATATGGTAGACTGACTATTTGTTTATAGTTATCACTTATTAGTCATTACTTATTGGAATAAAATATGCATTTGATTTTCAAAAAATTAATATCAAGCATTATAACAAATTAATAATGCATTTTAACCAAATAGAGAGAGATACCAATTTGATTATATCAGTACATAAATTTGTGTATAATTAGACTTCACTGTAAATCAATAACCAACTGGGAATGCACAGTTTGAATTGTCAGCCGAAAACCAAAAACAAGATGGTCCTGGCTCGTGAGTCATTCAATAATTATATTTTGTTGAAATCTGGGTAAACAATTATTCTATTTCCTGTATTTTGTGTCCATATATAATTTCACTCTTTATTAAATAATGGATAAATATTTTACCCACAGCAAAATTTCAGCTGGTTAATTTACTGAATAAAACATCAATAATTGGCAAATCAAGTGTATGCATGTGTTCATGAAACCGTGTCGGTCGAATGATATTGCTCGTAAATATAGTAATCATCAACGTATCCCCTCCTCCACACACACAGGCAAAACGAAACCAACAATCATAAAAGAGATGGAACACGCAAATTGTATTAAAAAATATTATAAGCTCATAATAACAGTATAATAGAGTATTGGAGTAAGATATGAATGTGAATCACAGCGCACTATTCGTTTGAACTTTCAAGAAGGCTGTATTACCTTAGCATTTTCCAACAAGCGTTCGAATCGATAACTGCAGTCGTAATACAAATCGATCATGATGTATTTTCTGGCTGACTGGTTATTTGATAATGTCACCTATCTGAGTCTGATCGCCCTTTTCGCGATCTTCTACTATTATTCGACCTCGACGTACAGTAAATGGCAAAAATTGAACATACCATACTTACCGCCAGTGCCTCTGTTTGGCAACATGCTCAATATTATGTTGAAACTCGAATATCCAAGTGACTTGTTCGACAGGATTTACAATCGGTTCCCGGACGTCAAACTGGTCGGGTTCTACCAGATGAGGGAGCCCATGCTATTGGTCTGCGACCCGAAACTAATACACACGATACTGGTCAAGGACTTCTCGCACTTCACCGATCACGGTTTTATCATGGACACATCCACATCTGTGCTAGGCAACAGTCTGTTCTTCGCCAACGGCCAAAAATGGAGGACGATGCGCCAGAAGCTGAGCCCGGGATTTACGTCTGGTAAGTTAAAAGACACGTATTTCCAAATCAACGAGTGCAGCGAAGAGATGGTGTCTAGAATTGTCGATAAGATCGAGAAGAAGACCGACCAAATCGACGTGAAAACGATGAACGGTAATTTTTCAACAGACGTGATCGGCACGTGTGCATTCGGAATGAAGCTGGACACGATCAAGAACGACGATTCGGAATTCCGCCGATACGCTAAGACAATTTTCCAGAGAACCACTAAACAAATTATTGTCCAGGCAATAACCACGATCTGGCCCTTGGTAATCAAGCTGTTTAAATTACAAATGTTACCGGTGGAATCCATCAATTTTTTCCATAACGTGTTCACCGACGTCATCAACTACCGAGAAGAGCACAACGTTATCCGAAACGATTTGACACAGACTCTGATACAAGCACGTAAAGAATTGGTGTTGAACGAAAACTCATCCGCTGAAGGTATTGTTTATGATGCAATAAAAGGTTTAAGTAGTATTAAAGTAACATAATGGTAAAATTAAAATTTCTTTTTTTTGTTGGTTTGATATGAATTGGGTAAAATACCTGGTTCATAAAATTGTTAATAAACGCGCAATATTGGGTAAATTTGGTATTTGTGAATTTGAATTTTATCAGATTTATTAAGACAAATTTGACAGTATAGTTTCATTTTTCAGTCTAAATAAGAAAAAAATAATGAATACTTTGTAGTAGAACAACTTGATAAAAAAATTAAAAATATAATTCAGTCCATTTAAGTCACAAAATATAAAATGTTACAATTTAAACATTCATAATGAATATTATAAAGTATTCAAACATGATAGGTTCCATATTATAATATGGTTCAATTATTTACTGTTAAATGACATAGTACAAATTATAATATAAACACAATTTATAGTTATTTACATAAGAACTAAGTTAATTAAAACTTATAAAATAAATTGAATAATCATATGACCATTAGAACAGCTAACTTAAAATTATGATGGAAAACCGAGATTTCTTAGAAAATATGTTTAAATATGGGCAATGCTAAATTAATTGTAAAATCTATAAAAAAAACTATGTGTATTCATTTTTAGATTTTTTGGTTATTATATGAACTACTTATTAGAAACCATGTTTTAAATTTTCGTTACTATAAAAATTGTATATTTTATAATACCTACAACACATTTTATACTACATTTATTTTTAACTATAGCTATTATAAAAATCAGGGATGAAACCGGTTGAAACAATTTCGATTTTGGCTTCAATTTTTCAATTCCAGCAATATTAGAACATTTTAGTTTTGTTTTTGATTTTGTATACTAGTTTCCAATTTTTTCTTTTCAAAATTTGAATTTAATAGTCAGGAATTCGAACTAGCAACACGCACTTCCGTTCTGTATATAGAGACATATATTATCACGCATCAACTACGTCAGTGTTATGGCATTAATTTTTTTAGTATGACAGACATGTTGTCAATATACAATAGCAATAAAAATTATAGTTTATTTTTTATTCCCTTGTTTGCAGATAAATACACCGACGCTGATATCATTGGTAATGCAATTCTTTTTTTCACTGCTGGTTCGGAAACCATTGCATCTATGTTATCTTTTTGCCTGTACGAATTGGCGCTAAACAAAGAGATTCAAGACAAAATACGTGCGGAGATATGCTCGATGAAATCAAAACACGATGGACAGTTAAACAACGATTTTTTGACGGACCTCAATTACACCAACATGGCATTAGAAGGTAAAGCAATATTCCAAAATAAGAGTATTACATTTGTGCTATCATTCTGCTCTATACGCTCCTGTTGTTATTCTTTGCCACTTATACATCATAATACACTAAAAAAATTTTTTAACAGTTCCAATCTAGTTTTTTTAGTTTAAGACTTCATTATTAGAGTTAATTATGAATGAATGAACCTTGAATGATCATGATTCCATTAAAAAGCTAATCATAATAAATTATAATTGCCAAACGTACAATTATTGTTTAATGCGTAAGTAAAATGAAACCCACACTTTAAGTTACGACGTCATCTTAAAGTTTAAGCAATAATTTTTATTCCGATTAAATTAATATAATAATATTACCATATCCATTTAATCTTTAATGGCTCAATGATTTTATTATGTTGATCTAATCAATAGTAACAAGTGAAAATCATTTACAGTTTTGTTGACATTGTCGAAGTATAATATTTTTCCAATAATCTTCTATGCATTTTGCAATATAAGATAAAAATATATAAAAATTATTTGCAAGCAATTAATATTACGTAGCGAAACATATATTTGATTGAGTCGTTTATTTTATTTTAGAGACCGGACGCAAATACTCCATTGCACAAGTTTTAATGAGAGTGGCTACAAAAACGTACACTCTACCAGATGAATCATTTGTTATTGAAAAAGGACAAAAACTCATTATACCAATGTTTAGCATACATCGAGACCCAAAATATTATCCAGATCCGCTGAGATTTGATCCGGAACGGTTTTCTGCGGAACAAAAATCTCAACGACCAAATGGCACTTACATGCCGTTTGGTGACGGACCTCGAGTGTGCATAGGTAAAAATATTATTTATAATTTATTTGTATTATTAGGTATATTGTTATATTATTTCATGATTTTATAACATTCACACTTTGATAAATTATAAGTGTTAATGTATGTGTAATTTATATTATTAAATATTAATCGTATATTATAATATATATTTAGGAAAACGATTTGCTGAATCAGAAATGAAATTGGCCCTGACAAATGTATTATCAAAATTTGAAGTATTACCGTGTGAACAAACAGAAATTCCCCTAGAAATAACAAGTGAACCAGGAGTAATATCACCAAAAAGAGGCCTAGTGTTAAAATTTAGACCGATTACAGAATATTAATCTTTCGTTAGTTACGATTGGTACATAATATGTAAACCAGTGTTGTACAGTCAAAGTTTTTTAGCAAAATTATTGATAAATAGTATCTATCCAAACTCTCCTATACCTTTCCGAGATGGGTATATTTAAAATTATTTATTTTGAATTTTTGTGTAGGCCTTTTTATGTTCTTTGTATTCTGGCCGGAGTTGGCTGGGATACAAGTGTGCCCCACTCGACTACACAGGTACATTTTTGTGTCAGTGTCGTAATCACAGTTCTATTGAGAATCATATTATGGTAGGTATATTGTTAGTATATTTTGTGAATGATTATTTCTTCTTATCGCAATGCTCATCCTAATTAATTTTTTTTTCACTTGGATGTTTTTGAATAGTTATATTATTATGTTGTTAAACGGTATTAATTAGATTAATGGTAATTGTAAAGTTTTTTTTTAGTTTGATTTTTTTTTTGTATTTTTGAAAATTTTAATTTTGTTTTGTATTAAAATAATAATAAATATTATGATTATTATTTTGAATATAATTTTTTATGTTACAAAACTGTCTATGATGTTTAAGGAACACATCGATAATAAAAAACAAATGATGATGGTAGGGCATTAAATAGTATTGGGAAACAACCGTACCTCAAGCTACTAATGACGTTAGAAATAATCACTCTACTGACGTTGTTTAAGTATAAGTTATTTGTATTTACTAGAGAATACTATGATCAAAAATATATAAAAAAATATATCCATGTTTCTACCTTGTATTTTTATGTATATTCACTTATTTATTTGCCAATATTTCATATTATTCTTGTCACACTCATATTGAAATATTTTTGTTTACTATGAACTATTTCAAATTATTTGAATATAATAATATATATTTGATTATTAAATAATATATATATATGTATCAAACTTAACAATACGTTAATAAGGCTTTTAACCAAAAACTACAATAAAAATTCAACCAGTATACCAGTTTAACTTTAAATGCAATTTTTGGTGAGTTTTAGAATACTAGTTGTGATGTAGGTATAATCGATTATTATACCATTTACTAACATTGAATATGAAGTTTGTGAGAGAAAACAGCTGTAAAAAATTGACACCAGAATTACTTCTTTTAAACATTCAGATAGTGCCGCTTTAGTTTAACGGGTGCAAGATGTATAAATAATATAGATATTAACATTTTGAATACACTATACAGCAGCTATCTGACAGAAGCTGTATATATATGTGCTAGGACGAGATAAAAAATAAGTAAATTGTGTTTTATAAAAACTCCAAAATAGCTAGGTAAATATGTTTCGTTGCATATATGTATTAGAATTAGAACATTGACGTTCAAAAGCGCTAAACATATAATCTTAATCAACACATTTATTATGCGATCTTATTATTATTACCGATATAATTATTTATAATTTTACCTGAAATATATTATTAACGATTTAAATAGTACCTGCTATATACATATAGTATATATATATATAATACTATATACACATATTTTATTTTGTATTTATATAAAATACTATAACTAGTATTATATAGGTAGTATAGTACATTATTATTTATTACACCCAATACAATTTTCAACATTTATACATAAGTTTTAAGCTGTTTATACCTAATCTCTAATACCTAATAGTTGAATCTATACGACTATACCTACATAATATTATCACACCATTTTGTAGCTCGACTAATGTTTACCATTTGTATTTCTTCTTTCTGATATTTTTTTTTGTTTCAATTAAAAGATTTTTAAACAATAAATAGTAAATTTATTGATGGGACTCAAATTTCATCAACACTAGTTATTGGTTAAACCTCAGAGGTGAATTTGGCCAAATACGTTTCTTATATATAATTAGACATCATCTCAGTACTTATGTGCTGAATTATATTTGAATGGGCTTCATCCGAATTGGACATTCCACACAACATACATTCGAATTGATACTCTTCCCCACTTTCGAAAAAGAAGAAATACGATCGGATAATATAATTATAACATATTTCCCAACATAATAAGCACAAATGAAATAGATTAAAAATTATTTAGATAAAAAATGTGATAAAAAAATGTGCCTCCATAGAATATTATTATTATAATATTTATTATTATTTTGACGATTTACAATGCCTATGAAAAAAAAAATAAACATATATATATATATATTGAACCCAATACTTATAAAAAATAAAATTACATTTATGCGAAAGCCACAATTTTTTACTTTTTCCTGAGAACCAACTCGGATATACCTTTTGAAACAACCCAGGAACTAATTAGGATACACCGGATATCCTGATCCGTTTTGATTTGTTCGGTGAAGAATTTTCATAAAACAAAAATCTCAACAACCTAATGGCACTTACCATTTGGTGACGGAGTGACGGACCTTGAGTATGCATAAGTAATGTTATAAACAATATAAACTATAACGCATACTTAATACTTATACATTAAACTCATTATCATCCGTAGTCTTCAGTGGAACTACGCACAACAATACTTAATACAAAATAATGTTTACTATAATATATGAAATAATTTTATTTACACAACTTTTATAATATGTTTGAATAAAAATAAAATGTGTTATGTGTCCTTATTTAATATTGTAATTAAATACTTTTTAATATTACTTACCTAATACAATTTTTTTTAATAATATAATATAAATAATATACTCCAAGTATTTTTGTTTCAAATTGTATTTTGTGGATTATTCGAGAAAATGCACTTATCAGTTGTCTTTTTGAAACCTTAATCAACGGATAATCAAGAGTAAACTGTAAAAACTTAAATATTAATTAATAATATACGACATTTTTATTTTATATTTTACTTAATTCAATAAACTATGTGTAAATATGAGTAAGTGCATGTTACAAGTTGATCATTATTTAAATGTGCATATAATATTTTATGGGCGAAATATTTTCAGAACCGGAAATTAAATTGCTCCTGTCAAATGTATTGTCAAAATTTGAAGTAATTCCGTGTGGCTCATGAGTTTTACTATTATATTTTGTTGATTTCTAAGTAAAACATGTTTCTATTTAGTGTATTTTGTGTCAGTATAAAATTTCACTCCATAAGTAATGAATAAAAAATATTGTATTCACAGCAAAATATAAGTTTCTTAATTGACTGAATAAGATGTCAATAATTAGAAAATCAAGTGTGTTTATGCGTCTGTTCTTGAACAGTATCAGTAAAGCCATGTTACTCGTGAATTTATTTATTATCAAGGTATCCCCTACTTCACATACATAGGCGAAACGAAACCAATAATCATAAAGTGATGGAACACGCAAATTGTATTAATAAAAATATTATAAAATCACAATATGAGTATTAACGTATTATACGCTACATAATATGAATGCGTATCACACCGCAGTACTCGTTTAAACTTCCACGTGGGCAACGGCTGCAATTTTTTCCGAAAAGTGTTTGAACCAACAACTGCAATCGTTATACAAGTCGATCAAGATGTCTTTTCTGACCGATTGGTTATTTGAAAATGTCACCTATCTGAGTTTGATCGCCGTTTTCACGAGCTTCTATTATTATTCGACTTCGACATACGGTAAATGGCAAAAATTAAACATACCATACATGCCACCCGTACCTCTGTTTGGCAACACGCTCAAAATTATGTTGAAACTCGAGCAACAAGTTGAATTGTTCGACAGAATTTACAATCGGTTCCCGGACGTCAAACTGTTTGGGTTCTACCAGATGAGGGAACCTATGCTATTGGTCTGCGATCCGGAGCTAATACAAACGATACTCATCAAGGACTTCTCGTACTTCACCGATCACGGTTTTATCATCGACCCATCCACATCTGTGCTAGGCAACAGTCTGTTCTTCGCCAACGGGCAAAGATGGCGGACGATGCGCCAGAAGCTGAGCCCAGGATTTACGTCTGGTAAGTTAAAAGACGCGTATTCCCAAATCAACGAGTGCAGTGAAGAGATGGTGTCTAGAATTGTTGATATGATCGAGAAAAAGACAGATAAAATCAACGTGAAAACTATGACCAGTGGTTTATCCACAGACGTGATCGGCACGTGCGCGTTCGGCATGAAGCTGGACACGATCAAGAACGACGATTCTGAATTCCGACGGTACGCTAAAAAAATTTTCCAGAGAACCACCAAACAAATTATTGTCCAGACGATAACCATGATCTGCCCATTCATAATCAAGCTGTTCAAAATGCAAATGTTTCCTGTGGATTCTATCAATTTTTTCCATAAAGTTTTCACCGACGTCATCAACTACCGAGAAAAGCACAACGTTATCCGGAACGATTTGACACAGACCCTGATACAAGCGCGTAAAGAATTGGTGTTGAAGGAAAACTTAACCTCTGAAGGTATTTTATTTGCTGCAATAAAATGATGAAAGAAGTATTGTTGAAAATAGTAAAATTCAACATTTTACGTTTTTGGTTGGTTTGATATGAATATTGTGATTGGTGAATATCAGGTTAAAAATTCTATAGGTAAATACACAATATCTACCAAAAATATTTTACTCGGTATGTTGCAAAAATTTGGTATGTTTGAATTTTTATTTATTTATACAAATTAACAATAGGGGAATGGGTAATGCTTAAATTATGATAACATCTAAAAATAGAACTGTGTGTATTCATTTTTAAATCTTTTGGTTACTGTATAACCTACTCATCAGGAAACTTGTTTTTAATTTTCAATTCTTAGCTGAAAAAATTGAATATTTTATAACACATCATATTTTATAATACTTCGAATTTTAACTACTGCTATAATAAAAACCATTGCTTAGAACTGATTGATACAATTTCGATTTTGGGTTCTATATTTCACTACTAGTATTAGGAATTTTTGCTTTTGATTTCGAATTACTAATTAGTATTGAAGTTACCAATTTTTTCGGTTTTGAATTTAATAGTTATTACTTTTTGTGAATTTGAACTAGCAACAATCACTTCCGTTCTATTTATTCTATGTATTGCACTCAACAGCGATGTTATTGTTATATCATGAAATAATATGTTTTGACAGACATGTCTTAGATGTACAATAACAATAATAATATTACTAACAATTATGGTTTTTTTAAAATTTTTTTTCTTGCAGATAAATACACCGATGCTGATATCATCGGTAACGCAATTCTCTTATTCACCTCTGGTTCGGAATCCATTCCATCTATGTTATCTTTTTGCCTGTACGAATTGGCGCTAAACAAAGAAATCCAAGACAAATTACGTACGGAGATATGCTCGATGAAAGCAAAACACGAAGGACAGTTCAACAACGATTACTTGAAGGACCTCCGTTACACCGATATGGTAATTGAAGGTATAACAGTATTCAAGAAATTATATTGTGATATCTTTCTACTCTAAACTCTACAGTTGTTTTCCCTTTGTAGTATTAATGGCATGACTATTTAAACAATTTTATCATCTTATGAAAACGTCAAAGAAACATCCAATATCTCTGTGTTACTTATATATAATATATCAACATTTGTTTTTAACAGTTCAAATCTTGTTTTATTAGTTTAACCCTTAATTATTACATAGTGAATTGGCCCAACTTTAAATTAAAACATCATCTGTACTCTCATTGAATTTGTAGTATCTGTGATATTTTAATTTGTAATCGAATTATGAGTGAAAGTATTAACATTTAAGAATGATCATGATTCCATTAAAAAGCCAATCACAATGAATTATAATTGCCAAACATAAAATTATTGTTTAATGCTTAGGTAAAATGAAACCCACACTTTAAGTTATAACGTCCTCTTACAATATCCACGATTATCGGATGATTATATAAATATTGGATTAAATTAATAAAAATATAATACCATGAACGTTTAATCTTTGATAGCTCAATGATATTATTAAATTGTTCAAATGAATAGTATCGGGTGGAAATCATTCGCAATTGTTTGAAATTGTTGAAACATAATATTATTTCAATAATCTTGTATGTACTTCATAACATAAGATAAAAATGTACCAAAGTTATTTTGTAGGCAATCAATATTACATATTTACATACCACAACATATATTTGATTGGGTTTATCGTATTTCAGAAACCGGACGCAAATACTCCCTTGCACAAGTTTTAATGAGAGTGGCCACAAAAACGTACACTCTACCAGATCAATCATTTGTCATTGAAAAGGGCCAAAAACTTATTATTCCAATCTTTAGTATACATCGTGACCCAAAATATTATCCAGATCCTTTGAGATTTGATCCGGAAAGGTTTTCTGCGGAACAAAAATCTCAACGACCAAATGGCGTTTATTTACCGTTTGGCGATGGACCTCGATTTTGCATAGGTAATATTAGTATTTTAATATTATTTTATGATTTTATAATATTATACACACTTCGGTAAATTATACGTGTTGATTTACGCTTAATTTATATTATTTTTTGTTTATTATATTTCATACTTAGCCAAACGATTCGTCGAATCAGAACTGAAATTGGTCCTGTCAAATGTATTATCAAAATTTGAAGTATTACCGTGTGCAGAAACAGAAATCCCCCTAGAAATAACAAGTGAACCAGGATTAATGGCACCAAAAAAAGACGTTGTGTTAATATTTAGACCTATCATAGAACATTAATCCTCCGTTAGTTGCGCGTGGTACATATGTAAGCCAGTGCTGTATAGTCAAAATATTAAAAAATAGTACCCATTCAAACTTTTCTATAACTTACCAAGATAGGTTTATTTAAAATTATTTATTTTTAATACTGGTGTAGGTCTTTTTATGTTCTTTTGTATTCTTGCTGCAGTTGGCTGGGATACATATTATTATGTACCCCACGGGCCACGACACTAACCGCGTAACTTGATGAGTCAATTATAGCATTGATATTATTATATTAATAATTGAAAATATTGATTTTGATTTGATTTTATTGTACTCAGTTGTACTTCATGAGTTATATTCTTATGTTTTTAAATTTTTTACATAGATTAATGGTCGCTGTAAAGTTTTTAAAATTTCATATTTTTTTTTTGTATTTTCGGAAATTTGAATTAGATTTATTATGGATAAATAAATGATTATTATGTTATATGATTTAAAGTGCTTATGATTTTTAAAGGAGCATAATGAAAAATAAAAAGATGATGGTAGATCAATAAATAGTATTGACGTCCAATCGTACCCTAACGACTAGTGACTACTGAAATTACAAAAAAACGCGTGACTAACGTTGGTTAAGTGTAAGTTGTTAGTATTTCCAGAAAAATACTTCAACTAAAAATAAATAGAATAATATACCTATGTCCTTTGTATACCTTGTATTGTATTTTAGTTACCTATTTATTTGTCAATATTGCATATTACAATTGAAATGGTTTTCATCTAAAGTGTTTGGTTTTACTGTCACCGGTAATGATTTATTAATAATTATCATACTCATGCATCATGCTGTGTAGACTATTATTAATTATTTATTATTTATTATATTATTGTTTACTAAGGACTATAGTAAAATATTGGAAAATAATATTTTTTTGGATATCAAAGAATATATATCGAACTTTGTTATATATAAATAAAGCTTTTAACTTTTGGTGAATTTTAGAATATAATTTTTTTTGTATAATTAATTATAATATAATTTTGAATTTACTAACATGAAATATGATGTAAGTGAGAGAAAAACAGCTGCAAGGAATTGAAATCCGAACAATTTATTTTAAACATTTGGATAATGCCGTTTTAGTTTAACGGGTGCAAGATGTATAAAGACGATTGATATTTAAATTCTGAGAGAACCTGTCGATATAAGTGCTAAAATTAGGTAAAAAGTGAATAAATTGTGTTACATAAACAAGCCAAAATAGATATTTAAATGGGTGTTTCATTCCAGATATTAGATTTGGAACATTGATGTTCAAAAACGCCAAACGTAAGATCTTATTATCTTAATCAACGCATGTAGTATAAGATCCTATTATTCATACCTATTCAAATGTTTAAAATTTTAAATAAAATTGTTTATTTACTGTTTATTTAGTACTTTATATGTGCATAAACAACTAATTATATAGGTACTATAGTACATTACTATTTATTAAACGCAATACAATTCTCAAAATATATTCATAAGTTTTAAGCTATTTATAATTTTAATAGTTGAATGTACGACTATACAGTATATTCACATCGTTTTGTGTGCAGCAAATAGATAACTAAAAAAGGTTCAAATATTAATCCACAATCATACTTTAAAAAAAAAAATGTATAAGACATTGCATCTACAATCAAAAAACTTGTGCCCAAATGCAAACGTACGCTAAAAAAACGTACGCTGCAATAAGTGTGTAACCAAAAAAAAAAAATATTTTGAAATTTTGCAAATAATCAAGGTTTTTATTCAAAAAGAAATTACCTAGTCTAAAGTTCCAAAATATATTTGTAGGTAAAAGTGATGAATTATTTTCAGCTGAAGGTAAAACATTTCCTCTTCTGTAATAAACATGTTCTTGAATTTTGAAGATTGGCATAAAGTTTCTGGCCAGACTCAAGCTCAAGATAATTCTTGGTTACAGAGAACGCGTGAGGCCAACCACCGGACCATACCAGGCCCCAGATATGTAGTTTTTATTTGGAAAAAATTATTTTGCATTGTTCTATTATGGTGAGAAAAAAATTTTAATTGGCGATATAAATATAAAATATATAATTCTATGTTTTAGATTAAAACTTTAAAACTTTTAATAACTGAAAAACACACACATAATTGTGGCAAATCTATATTGTTTATGATGTCATTGCTCAAAAAACCGCATGAGCCCATCGCATGACCTTGTTCACCTGCACCAGCAAAACGAAACCAATAATCACGGAAGAGATGGAAAACGTAAATTAGGCTCGCTGTATCAACAAGCGTAGTATATGCGTAACACAACGCAGTACTCGTTTGAACTTTCACGTGGGCCGCAGCTGTAGTAATTTTTCCTAAAAGCTTTTGAGCCAATAACTGCAGCTGTCGTAACAAGTCATTCATGATGTTATTTCTGCCTGACTGGTTCCTCGACAACTTCACATTTCTGAGTTTGATCGCCGTTTTCGTGAGCTTCTACTATTATTCGACATCGACGTACGGTAAATGGCAGAAATTGAACATTCCGTACTTACCACCAGTGCCACTGTTTGGCAACACGTTCAGAATGATGTTGAACCTCGAACATCCAATTGACACGTTTGAAAGGTTCTACTACAGTTTTCCAGACGCAAAAGTCTTCGGATTCTACCAGATGAGGGAGCCGATGCTGTTAGTCCGTGACCCGGAGCTCATCAACAGGATACTGGTAAACGATTTTTCATACTTCACCGATCATGGTATGGACATGGACCCGTCCTCGACTGTGGTAGAATTAGTGGTTGACCCCACCTCCGAAGGTATATTATATATAACAGAATCATAAAATTTTTCAATTTTTTTTTTTTTTTGGTCTTAATACTAAGAAATTTGAAGCCAATACTTTAAAACAAGTGATAGAATATAGATTAAATTATTTACTTTTTCATCTGCTAACCTATACTCGGAGATTAATACAAAAAATTAATTTGAAAATTGAATAAAATTTATTTAATACACTAATTCTTAAATATTAGTAAAAAGTATTTGAAATGAATTTCAGTCATCAAATACACAAAACAAATGTTTAATTCCCATGTTTAACAAAAATTTATACATACCTTCCTATATATTTTTTTTTTATCAAGTCATAGTTTCAGATTAGTAACAACATTATTTGTACAAAATGTGTATTTGCCATCAGACCCTACAATATGTCATTAATATTGCATTTCAGTTTTCCATTTCGACAAAATAAATAAATAAATTCAATTATGATTAAATATTTTAGGACATATACTACCTACTGACATTTAAAATCACAATTGATTAAATTATTGTCAAACTAATACTTTGTATCTGAGGATTTTATTCGATTATTAAACAAATATAATACTCCCAAAATATAGATCTAAGTAGTCATAGTATTATAAAAGTACACCTATATCTAAAAATCAAATTTTTTTCCAACAAAATGAACTAACATAGAGGCAAACGATCGAACTAGCAGCACGCACTTCCACACTCTGTATATGATGCACGCGTCAAAGACGACGTTATAATAATTATAATTATAATTAATGTATATATTACGATATGTACACGATGCTGCGGGTATACAATAACAATAGTAGTGATAATTTGGATGTTTTTTAATTACATGTTTATAGATAAGTTTACCGACGCCGATATCATGGGTAACGCTATTCTCTTGTTCGCTGCTGGTTCGGCGACCGTTTCGTCTTCACTAACTTTTTGCCTGTACGAATTGGCACTGAACAAAGAAATCCAAGACAAAGTACGTGCAGAGATATTGTCAATGAAAGCAAAACACGATGGACAGTTAAACAACGATTATTTGATGGACCTCCGCGCGTTACACCACCATGGTATTGGAAGGTATATCATATACGTAATAATATTACAATTTAGATTAAAATCTATCATTCGACTAGTGCATCGGTTATCACTTATTATTCACTACACGGAATACACCGTGTATAATCTGCATAGCTTAAATATTTAACCTAATTTATTTTTCTCAAGAGATTATAATATATTACCTACATTTAATATGTCCATCTTACTTATACTTACTTATATTCAAACATTTACTTTCAGCAGTTCAATTTTTTCGTTTTAACTATATGCCTTAAATATCAGAGTGGGTATAATATATTATTATTAAACTTTAATGTAGAAACATTTTCTGTGTACTCTCTTTGAATTTTTACGATGTTTTAATTTGTAAGCTGGTTATGAGTACCTTGAGGTATCTATGACCATTTACAAATCTTTAATTATCCATCAAATATTTAAATTCTCAATTGTTTATTTGCAAAAATTGGTCAAGTACCTATTTTTGTAGCTTATGAACTATACGCCAATACCTTATATATATAAAATGGGGTGCAGCCTATGTATTTTACCTTATGAGTTAAAAGGTTATAGTTTTATGTTACTCCGGAAACAATGAAAGTTGCAGACAACTTGCAAAGCTATATATTTTTTTATTTAAGTAATTGTAATTATATTTCTTCTTTCTGATATTTTTTCGTTAAAAATTTCAAGATTTTGTAAATAATAAGTAACTAATTAATTGATGGCACTCCAATTTCACCAACACAAGTTAAATCTCAGTGGCAAATTGAAAAATACTTTTGTTATATATAAATAGATATTATCTTAGTAATTATGTGTTATTGTTTAGACATTATTACTATTTTAAACGTACCCATCATTCAAACTGTTTTTATTTCAAAATATATGTGTTATCATTATAATTTATTATGTAATTCGTTTATCATATTTCAGAGACCGGACGAAAGTACTCCATCGCATTAAGCATTATAAGAGTGGCAACGAAATCTTACACTTCACCTGACAAATTATTTGCTATTGAAAAGGGGCAAAAAATCGTTATACCAATATTCAGCATACATCGTGACCCAAAATACTATCCAGATCCGTTGAGATTTGATCCGAAAAGATTTTCTACGGAACAAAAATCTCAACGACCAAATGGCACTTACATACCGTTTGGCGACGGACCTCGAATTTGCATAGGTACCTTATATTATAATTTATAGTTTAGTCTTATTTTAATTAAATAATTTTATCAAAATATGACATTCAAATATCGGTAAATTATTCATGTGGAAATGTGTGGATAGTTTATCGCTTGATTGAGTTTTCAATTTGTATATTATGTTTTATAGGCAAACGTTTTGCTGAATCAGAAATGAAGTTGGTCCTGTCAAATTTACTGTCAAAATTCGAAGTACTTCCATGTGAACAAACAGAAATCCCAATTGACATAAGAAGTGGACCAGGTCTAATTACTCCAAAAAATAGCCTTGTATTAAAATTTAGACCAATCATTGAGCATTAATTATAAATTATTTATAATCCGAATAAATATTATATGCATATTGCATATAACATTTAATTCCATATGAATATGAGTGTTAGTGTAACGTGATTATAAACATGACTTATGCAAACCCGACATGTTGCAGACAAAATATAATCATTTTTCAATTTGAATATTTGTTTTCTTTATTTATAATTATTACAATGCAATGGCCAACGAGTGTAATCTAAGTGTTTATTGATAAGATAACATGACAATGACGCAGTTCTAATAATTTATTCATATTTTATATAGTTTAATAGATTATATTATAATTAATTACGTATTTTAATTATAAAAATAATATGGATATAAGACATTGTAAAAATGAATAAAGCTTTTTAATCAAAAAATGCAATACCCATTCAGTTATATCAGTATATTATGTACACAATTTTCAGCTGGATATTATTTTTATATCAGATTGGAATACTTTTATTAAAATTATTTTAGAACATCATTTCGCCTGTACTTATTATATATTTTGTACTATATCATTTACAAACATTGTGTGTGATGTTTTCGAGAAAAAAAATAGATACAAAGGATCACATAGTTTCTTTTAAGGATTCAAATTGCGCCATTTTAGTTCATCGGAAGCAAATATAATACAAATATATTTTAAATATTAAAATATCTATTAAATAGATTCATACATTAAGTTTGCTGTAGCTGTCTAAAAGAGGCTGCAACATGTAGAACAGTTTTTGACCTTAAAGCCGTACTTAAATAATAATTTAATAAACTAAATTGAATAAAAACTACTCTATGTGTTATCTCATTCAGATATTAAATTTAGAACGGAATCGGTTAACCAATCATTCAATTTTTTATCAGCTCATTATTTATTATAAGAATATATTATTCATACACGATTAAATTAGAAAAAAAATATTTTGAATTTCAATTTTGAGTGTGATATCTTGTAGAAAACTAGATCTTATTGGTACTTTTGAAAGGTCAAAGTTAAAAAAGTCCAGTACCTTGAAAAAATAACAGGGGGAAAAATTTTTTTTGAGTGAATTTTTAAGCAAAATTTGTTTTTGACAAAATCGATTTTCGTATTTTGTTATAATTCAAAAAGTAATGATCATAAATGATCATATTATTTTGACTCTTTTTGAGCTATTTATATAGACAGTCAAACTTTATAGTTTTTTCATAAATTACGGTCAAAAAGCTTGAAAAGGTAATACAAGATAAATCACAAGTTGTTATATTATAGGTATAATATAGGCTAGAGTTTTTTTTTACAATTATTTTTAGTTCATATTTTGACAATATTCATAAAACTCACCAAAAATTTGCAATTATTTTGTTGATAAACACTTAAAGTGAGGATCTCTATTATTTATAAAGTATTTTATACTTAAATCAAAAAATATATAGGTAGGTGCATCATTTTTTTTTTTTTTTAGACATTAGGCGATAGTTCAAATAAAGACGAAATTAGTTACCTACAAACTAACAATCACGATGTTAGCTCTTCTGTTGTAATAATTCAAAAACATTATTCGTGGAGACTTCAAACCTTTTACTTATATTTTATATTGCATTGTCATTGTAAATAGTGGAATATTCACAGTGACATTATCAAAATATTTAAATTTTAAGATATTGCTATTTATACCATGAACCTATTCACACCATGGTTATCATATATGATAAATATAATTTTATTTATAACAAAATAAATGCAAAGTACTCTCCGCAAAAATTAGCAATATTGTAAATGTAGTTTTGTGGTAAAGGCACCGCTCAAAATCGTTTTTTGAAAACAATCATGTATCATTGAATTCATATGTAACACATTTATTTCAGTGACACAGTGGTATCAACTTTTATCAATTCAAGAACCTAGTTAGGGATTTTAAATTTAATAGGAGGTTCCTCAAAATGTATATTTACAATAACATATATTTCAAAATCAAATACTCAATAACTATATTATATTTTATAGACATTTCAAGTACGAATGTTGTTGAATTTGGATATTTAAACACAAAAAAGCAAGTATTTGATATTTTTTTGTAATTTATTGTAAAAATACTATTCGAGAAAAATTGAAAATTGTGTCGCTTTGTATATTACTATTTATAAAACACAATTAAATTCTCAAATGTTTTAGATTAGTTTAAAATGTTTAAATCTATACGATGAACCTACATATTATTCACAACATTCAACGATACGTTGATATTGTTTTATTACTGTTGTCGTATATAACTGTTAACAGCCGTCAATATCATTGGACAATTATATATATATATACTATAATTGTACTCTACAAGTGTCAATGTAAGGCCTATGTGAAAAAAAAGTGAACAAATTCAAGTTTTTATTGTGTAAACAAATAATTCGTCGTTCATATAAAAATATAAACATTGTGTTGTTGTTCAAAATTCAATCTTTCTACTTGAATCTCATTGAAACAGAAACGTCACTTTCAAAACCATTTACAATCGTAAAACTAATAAAAATATATTTAATTATGATTTTTTTTCTGGAAAACTATAGTTTAGCGATGCCACAAAATATCTAGACCACATTTGAAGTTGACTTCGAAATGCTTAAACCGCAAAAATCAATAAAATGTAAACTTTATGTGCAAATTGTACTCTACAAGTGTCAATGTAAGGCCTATGTGAAAAAAAAGTGAACAAATTCGGGTTTTTTTTGTGTCAACGAATAATTCGTCGTTCATATAAAAATATAAACATTGTGTTGTTGTTCAAAATTCAATCTTTCTACTTGAATCTCATTGAAACAGAAACGTCACTTTCAAAACCCTTTTCTATCGTAAAACTAGTAAAAATGTATTTAATTATGATTTTTTTTCTGGAAAACTATAGTTTAGCGATGCCACAAAATATCTAGATCACATTTGAAGTTGACTTCGAAATACTTAAACCGCAAAAATCAATAAAATGTAAACTTTATGTGCAAATTGTACTCTACAAGTGTCAATGTAAGGCCTATGTGAAAAAAAAGTGAACAAATTCGGGTTTTTTTTGTGTCAACGAATAGATCGTCGTTCATATAAAAATATAAACATTGTGTTGTTGTTCAAAATTCAATCTTTCTACATGAATCTCATTGAAACAGAAACGTTACTTTCAAATCCCTTTTCCATCGTTAAACTAGTAGAAATTTATTTAATTATGATTTTTTTTCTGGACAACTTTAGTTTAACGATTAATTAAACCATCTAGACCATATTTGAAGTTGACTTCGAAATACTTAAACCGCAAAAATCAATAAAATGTAAACTTTATGTGCAAATTGTACTCTACAAGTGTCAATGTAAGGCCTATGTGAAAAAAAAGTGAACAAATTCGGGTTTTTTTTGTGTCAACGAATAGATCGTCGTTCATATAAAAATATAAACATCATGTTGTTGTTCAAAATTTAATCTTTCTACTTGAATCTCATTGAAACAGAAATGTCACTTATTGTTATATATGTACTAGTAGATTAATATTTATAGCTATATTTGATGCATTATTTTCCATTTATTTAGATAATTTGTTCTACAGCAAGGTAAACAATTATGTACTTATCAGTTTTTAGATTTGATTACTCAAGACATTCTATTTCTAACTAGTCATTGCTTTAAGTGCAGTATTTTGCCCAAACGTGTTAACATGTTTCAGGTAAATTTTTTAGACTATACCCAAAAGGGTTTTCCCCTGATGGTCCACCTTAAGGTGGTTAGTTTAGTTGAATTGTTTATAACTGAGATTTATACAAACAATAATTGTAATATTATAATTTTAACAAATTAAATAATATTTGTATTAGATTACATTATTATGTTTTCATATTTTTATAATTTCCTTTATTATTATCTACTATACACATAATATATCACTGACGTGTGTGTCGTCTTTCAATTGTTTTGTAATATCAAGGAGTCTCACCATATACATAGGTACAACTTTTTCAATTTTGATGAGTAAACAAAATGTATTATAATAATAATCGTTTGGCCTGCTGGACATACATCTGCCGAACTTGTCTCGTTTGATCACTCGCTTCATATATTATTTCTGCCATTTCACCGGTAAAATAATGTATACTACGTTTGTTTTATGTTCAATTTATGTTATACTGTACTCGGTATAACTAACTGTTTAAACATACAAATCCTCTCATTTTCCCCAGATTAGTATAAATCTATCTCTAAGGGTAGCAGCAGTGATAGACAACAATTTAATTGTTACCATATAACAAATGTATGTTTTTTTATCCAATATCAGTTTTTGACAACATACATTTTCTTATTTTCTTGTAATTTAACATAATTTCTAATAAAAAAACGAATTCAAAGCACGATTAAAGACCACATGTGGTATGATTTTTATTATAACTATTAACATTTACAATCCCTTAACACATTATTAACACAATAACTTATACACATCAAATTATTTATAAAGTATTTCTATAGAAGTACAAATAATTCATAACTAATGCTCAACGATCGGTCTAAATTTTAACACTACACCGTTTTTCGCTGAAATAAATCCTATTCCACTTCTAATGTTAAGTGGAATTTCAGTTTGTTCACATGGTAAGACTTCGTATTTTGACAGTACATTTGACAGGACCAACTTCATTTCTGATTCGGCGAATCGCTTGCCTGTAGGTATAATATAATATACAAATTGTAAATTACGCGTACATTTACAATGTATTATTGACCGAAAAGTGATATTATAATAATATTACCAATGCACAATCGAGGTCCGTCACCAAACGGCATGTAAGTGCCATTTGGTCGCTGAGATTTTTGTTCCGCAGAAAACCGTTCCGGATCAAATCTCAACGGATCTGGATAATATTTTGGGTCACGGTGTATGCTGAACATTGGTATAATGAGTTTTTGTCCTTTTTCAATAACAAATGATTTGTCAGGTAAAGTGTAAGATTTCGTTGCCACTCTCATTAAGTTTAATGCGATGGTGTACTTTCTTCCAGTCTCTGAAATACGATGAACGAACAATTGAAATATTTTATATGTTACGTCAGTGGTGGCCAAACTACGGCCCGCGGGCCAACTCCGGCCCGCCATCATTTAATATCTGGCCCGCGAAAGAAGTAGAATATTTTACATTTACGTAAAAAAAAAAATTAAAAATATACAGTATACATTCTTCATATTTACACACTTATTCGTGAATTTGAAAATCGTTTTAAAGACATTCGAACTAAAGAACCAATTATAAATCTATTTGAAAATCCATTTAATATAAATCCGGAAATTGTCGAAGCTTCTTTACAATTAGAAATTATAGAACTCCAATCTAATAATTCTTTAAGAACAACATTTAATAATTTGACAAGCTCTCAAAATCTTGTTCAGTTTTATTCAAATTTGTCTGAAGAAGATTTTCCAAATGTTCGGAAGTTTGCTGCTAAGATGTCTTATATATTTGGTTCAACATATATTTGTGAGCAAGTATTTTCAACGATGAAAATTAACAAAAGTAAAACTCGATCTCGCATCACAAATGAACATCTACACGCCGTTCTCCGGGTAAATTCTACCAAATTAGAACCTAATATTAATGTCCTCTGTCAACAGAAATAAGCTCAAAGTTCTCATTAACAAATTAATACATTTTAAAATATGTTTTGTAAGTGTAAAACGATATTTTGTATAGTTTATATTTATTTTTATATGTGTTTTAATAATTTATTTAAAAATATTTTTTGAAATGTAAGTCAATTTAATTTTCTTTTATTTGTAGTAATTATTAAGTTAAGTATTAAATAAAGTCATTAAAATTATTAAGTACAGTAAAAATGTCGTTAATTATAAAATTATATACCTATACCTAAAATTCTGATGACTTTAAAGTAAAAAAAATTTTTATGGCCCGCGGTCAAAAAATTTATTTTTTTGTGGCCCGAGTTAAAAAAAGGTTGGCCACCACTGTGTTACGTGATAACAATTGTTTAAAAAAATACATTTTAACCTGTATATTTAACGTTATTTTCATTCATTTTACACCGTTAAGTGCATAAAATATGCAAAAATATTAAGAATTTTCAAAACATCAAAAACTGATTTGTTTACTTATTTTGATTAGATCTACTTATAACAATTGCATCAAATTTAAACCGGATTGCTTTGCGCTCGAAGACATTAAGAAAAATAAAATATTTGACAAGGCATTATTATAAAATATACGACGCAGGTAATAACAACCTTGGAGCCATATTACGGAATGTTAGAATGATTCAACAAGCTCGATCATTCTCACATTTTTCCTTTAGTATCTAGATACCTAATGAGTTCGTTCAAATTCTGATTTTCAGAGTTTTAAGTATTTGAAGCGTAAAAGCCATTATATACTTAAATTTTTATATCTTATTAGAGAATGTATTTTGAAGATAACAATTTTAGGTTTTAAAATGAGAGAATTTCTATTTTTACAAAATTATGATGTGTTTTAATTCAATTTTAACCAGAAGTTTTTGAGTAGTTACTAGTAATAAACTCATAAAATAGTCTTTAAAAATAAACATGTTATATTTAATCTTTTACTTACTAAGACAATATTTCTACTCTATGTAATTAATTATAAAATTGCATGATTTTAGTATTATATATTCATTACAATATTACCATATCATAAAACCCTCTATACCGATTAAACATTTAAACGCATGGCCATGGATTATTTATATGGTATATTATGTTTAATAACTTGCAAACTACTTGTTCGAATTTCAATTTTGATATATTCAGATTTCTATAAAAACAACTGCTAAATAATTTACACTAAAATTGGATGTTCTCATTTGTAAAACAGACATTTTTATCGGCACAGAACATAATATGATAAGCTTAAAATTCAAAGCGCTTAAAAATACGGTCCTTAGGCTTAAGACACACTTGAAATTCCAAAATTAAAATTTGAATGTATGCATTATTAAAACAAAAAAATTGGGGAGGAGGTTCATGCTTGTTGAATCATCATATTATATACCATTATTCAACCAAAAGCACCAAGGTTGCTATTGCGTGCGTCGTATATTTTGTGACAATGACTTGTTCAATATTTTATTTTTCCTCATGTTTTTGTGCTTGTTTGAAAAAAATAAAAAATTTGTGTCGTTACAGACTACCGGGTATACTATTTATATGGCACAATAATTAAAATATTAAAAATATAACTTGTAACCGACAATATTACGGGAAGAAGAAATAGGGGCGAGTACGATTGATTGATTCTTCCTCTATGTATAGGTATTATATCTCATGAATTTTGTCGTACCTTCCAAAACCATGGTAGTGTAATGGAGATCCATCAAATAATCATTGGTTAACTGTCCGTCGTGTTTTGCTTTCATTGAAAATATCTCTGCACGTAATTTGTCTTGGGCTTCTTTGTTCAGCGCCAATTCGTACAGGCAAAAAGATAGCAAAGACGATACCGTTTCAGAACCAGCGGTGAACATGACAATAGCGTTACCGATGATATCGTCGTCAGTGAATTTATCTGTGAATAAGATACAAAAAAAAACACCTGAATTATCACGACTATTATTGTTGTTGTTATTGTTATTGTATGTCTGCACTCTGCAACATGTCCGTTAATATATTATAATAAATTAATGCTATAAATGTGACGTTGTTGATGCGTGTAATATATGTTACGGAACGGAAGTGCGTGTTGCTAGTTCGAATTCCTAGCTCTAGGTTAGTGTATGTTTTGAAACATATGTTTTATTTTTCGTAACTTTGTTTTTTCCAGGTATATACTTTTATAACAAAGTATTTATATTAAATTTTGAATATTTATATTATTCAAATTGTGTACTATTGAATGCTAACATTTTTGTTTTTATTTTATTTTATTGTCAATCACAATTTGCATCATAATTTTCAATTTCAATAGCACATTCAAAATGTATTATATTAATATAACCTGTATAACTCTATATTGTTGAAATGATTACTTTAACTCCATTTCTTTAACTACATTTCATTATTAGTCATATTAATTTACAATATTGTAAACAAGTAAATCATTTTGTATAAAATCTAATCATTTTACTGATTAAACTAAAGTGAAACAACGACTAAATAATAATAATAATAAAATATTTATTATAATTTTTGAAATAATGAAATCTATGACATTTTTATTTGTATGACGAAAATACGTAATAACTTAAAGGAATTTCTAGTACTTTTTACAAGTACCTACTTAAGTACATACTACCTTTCATTTTCAAATAATTGATTGTATGTATTCTATCACCAAGCTTAGGTTAGCTGTTAAAAAGATCATACGATATTTAAATTTGTTTTATACATTTATAACAAATGTAGTACTTACCTAATTAATTATAAATTATATTTTAAACTGTGTAATTCAATAGAAAATTATTTGGCAATAGCTAATAATATTATATTTATCACTTTTTTAAATTATAGGCTTCATCGTATGGATAAAAGAAATTATAAAATTTAAAATTCTATTACTTAAATAGTACATAATATATCATTCCAGAGCTACAACAATAATACCTTCGGAGGTCGTGTTTTCCTTCAACACTAATTCTTTACGCGCTTGCATCAGGGTCTGCGCCAAATCGTTCCGAATAACGTTGTGCTTTTCTCGGTAATCGATGACGTCGGTGAACACATTTTGGAAAAAATTGGTCGCCTCCACCGAAAACATTTGGACTCTTAACACCTTGATCACCCAGGGACAGATCATCGACAACGCCTGGACGATCATCTGTCGCCAGGTGGTCTGGAACATTATCTTGACGTACCGCCGGAAGTCAGAATCGTCGTTCTTGATCGCGTCCAGTTTCATGCCGAACGCGCACGTGCCGATCACGTCTGTGGAAAAACCACTAGTCACAGTTTTCACGTCGATTCGGTCGGTCTTCTTCTCGATCGTCTCGACAATTCCAGACACCATCTCGTCGCCGCATTCGTTGATTTGAAAATACGCATCTTTCAACTTGCCGGACGTAAAGCCTGGACTCAGTTTCTGGCGCATTGTCCTCCATTTACTGCCCTTGGCGAAGAACAGACTGTTGGCCAGCACAGTCGAGGACGGGTCCAAGTCTAAACCATGATCGGTGAAATATGAGAAGTCCTTGACCAGTATCGAGTTGATCAGCTCTGGGTCGCGAACCAACAGTATCGGATCCCTCATCTGATAGAATCCGAACAATTTGGCGTCTGGAAAACTGTTGTAGAACCTTTCAAACAAGTCAATAGGATGTTCGAGTCTCATCATTATTCTGGTTGTGTTGCCGAACAGTGGCACTGGCTGTAGGTATGGTATATTCAACTTTTGCCATTTACTATATGTCGAAGTTGAATAATAATAGAAACTCGCGAAAACGGCTATCAAACTCAGATATGTGAAATTGTCGAGCAACCATTCAGTCATAGACGATGTCATGATTGAATTGTTTAACGGCTGCAATTATTGATTCTAACACTTAATAAAAAAAATACAACGATCTCGTGGAAGTTCATACCAGTACTGAGCTGTAACACACATATTATGTTTAGTGCAAGGGCGTCATTTCAGGTTTTGAAAGAGTGGGGCAGCTGATTAAATTTGCCGACTACGTAATATTTAAAAAGTTATGGTTACCTATGTACTTAATATTTATGGACAATAGACCAGCAATGAAATATTTTTCGGAACAAAACATATGGGACCAAAATTAGAATGAATAATTATGTCATAATGATGTCATAATGATAAACAAGAACATGAAGTGTTTAAATTTACCCAACTAAATAATAACATTAAAGATAGTAAAACATTAATTTGCTTACTTATCCTATAAGTTACCTATCAATAAGTTTAATGGAGTAATAATATAAATTTAATAAAAATAAATAAATATTTATATTTTGATTATTTGTAAGTTAAATACTTTACAGCACTTAAATATTAATACACTCAACTATTTTAACTTATTTTATTTAACTATTTACTAGTAATACTGATTAGTGATTAGATGTCACCAAGGTGGTCGACAATTGGTGTTCGATGTTATCAACACTAATAATAATTTGTTGTTAATTCATGCATATCTATTTTAAGAATGTCTCTAGATATTCCACAGAAGACGTGTTTCGCGTAATATTAATTGTCATTAACCGAGGAGCCTGTGCTCTGATTTCTGAGTACAAATTGTACTAAATAGTAAATATAAATTTACAGAATTGCCGACTTTTTAAAATTTCTTGGAGAGGGGCATTTGCCATAGTTTGCCCCCCCCCCCCAAATTACGCCCCTGTGTTATTTGCACATAAAGTTTACATTTTATTGATTTTTGCGGTTTATGTATTTCGAAGTCAACTTCAAATGTGATCTAGATATTTTGAGGCATCGCTAAATTTTAGTTTTCCAGAAAAAAAATCATAATTAAATAAATTTTTACTAGTTGTACGATGGAAAATGGTTTTGAAAGTGACGTTTCTGTTTCAATGAGATTCAAGTAGAAAGATTGAATTTTGAACAACAACACAATGTTTATATTTTTATATGAACGACGAATTATTCGTTGACACAAAAAAAACCCGAATTTGTTCACTTTTTTTTCACATAGGCCTTACATTGACACTTGTAGAGTACAATTTGCACATAAAGTTTACATTTTATTGATTTTTGCGGTTTAAGTATTTCGAAGTCAACTTCAAATGTGATCTAGATATTTTGTGGCATCGCTAATCTATAGTTTTCCAGAAAAAAACGATGAATTATTCGTTGATACAAAAAAAACCTGAATTTGTTCACTTTTTTTCACATAGGCCCCAAAGAGTTCTCTTTTGGGTCAATGCGCCCAAGTATATTTCTCCCGACCATCTTCTTTCCATGTCGTTTTTCTTCGTATTCAAATTAAAAACATCCATTTCAGTGTGTGCCCACCAGGGACCTTATTGTTTATACTACTAGACAAGCAATGAGTGTATGGAAGCTTAACAACTTAGATTGTGCTTTGGGTTACTTCAACGGCAGTGCGGAGTATAGCATTATAAGATATATAAGTATATAGATGATTGTATTTTTTCGTAAGGATGGCCTACATCACTATATATGTTGTAAACTTATGATATGTTGTTATGCCATTCGTAGTTATATTGTTATACACAGTTGTTATCTAGTAGTATTATGTGGTGCCCACTCAATGACAATATACACTAGACATCTACTGCCAGTGTAGTTGTTTTCAATTCAAATAGTTTTATCTTTTTTTTAAAATTATCACTACACTACACATATTATAATCTAAGACTTATTCTGAGTATATATTTATTTAATAACATGATGATTTTGACGTATCTAGTAACTAATTATAGGTAGTGCGCAATACCTAATTATATCTAATACGTACATTTTTAATGATTATTTTAATATTATTATACTTCAAGTGTTCTGATTTCTAAATATTAAAATAATGATAATAATTCTTAAGTATTTTAAATAAATTGTTTCAGAAATTAAAGGCAGTTTTTTATACAACCTAATCTATATCGGAAAAATGCAATATCGTGGTATTAGAAACCTAAGGCGAAATCGGAAAAATAAACACTAGTTATTGAAACCTGAATCAAAATATAAAAATATTTTCGCTTTTTAATCCTGAATCAAAATTTAAAATACTAAAAATATCATGTGGTTTTAAGTGTTTTTAACCTACTATATAAAATACCAGTATCATTTCCCTATCCACCATGTTGGAATAGAAATCAAAAGTGTGATGTTTTTGGTCACAATATTTATTTGTTATTCAAAATCTTATCATGTATTATGCCTTGTGTTAAATAATAACAATAATCAAAGAAGTCAATCTTTAGTAATAAAGTAGGTGATTCGAAGTCATTGAGTAGAATATCGTAATCAATAATAATAGATGCATTAAATTAAAAACCATTGTATTTAATAAACATTGTTTGTATTGAGATAGGGCAAACTAATTTTTGCCAATAACAAATCGCAAATACAAAATGCATATTATGTTACATAGTAATGGTTATAATTATAATATTATTTTATTAAGATGAACCTAATAACTATTAACATCTCAACGCCTACACTCATTAAAGATCTAAACTAAAACATATCATTATTTTATTTCTATGAATTAAAATATACAAAAAATCTCCTATCAATGTGTAGTGTGTACGTACACTTAATTTTTGACACACTATTTTTAATCAATAACTTTTCATTTTTGAAGTTAATTAATTTTAATAGTTCTATATTATATGTTCGTTATCGGAACATGCATCACTCAATTATATTTACTACTTAATAATCAATTACGTCATAATTAATCAACAACCTAACAGGAATATAAATATTTTATTACAAACTACAAGGGAAACCACAGACAAACTGGAACTAATCACAACGTTTGTAAGTGCTGAACGGCCTGAACGTACATTTTGGTATTTGATATTATGATATGGGAGTAAGACGAAGTCAACCCATGCAGTTATGTCGTCCTTTTGAAGATTGAAAAGATTTAAGTGGCACTTACATACCGTTTGGCGATCAACCTCAACTGTGTATAGGTAATATAATTAATAAACTTATACTTTAATATCAATCAATCATATATATAACGTTCATAGTATTATATAGGCAGACGGATTGTCGAATCAGAAATTAAATTGGTCCTGTCAAATGTATTGTCAAAATTCGAAGTACTACCATGTGAACAAATTGAAATTCCACTCGACATCAGAAGTGAAACAGGAGTAATTTTGCCAAAAATGGACTTTCGTTGAGCACTAAATATAAATTATTTGTATGTTTTAGATTCTGAATCAATTCATGATTAACATTCAGTCCGATTCAGATATTTATTTAGTGATTTTCTTATTTTGTTGTAATTCAAAAACGAATAACTGTAGATAATTTAAATGTACACCATATTTTTATAGCTAAGGATTGAAAATTTAAAACAAAGTTCCACTTAAGCAGTTTTCTTGCATAATTAAGAAATCTAAAAAACCAATAAATACAGTAATTTTTTACAGACATTTTAAGTTCAAATTTGGACAAAATTACATATTAATATGAAGAACCACGTTTGTCATTTTGTTGTAATTCAGTTCCAAAACAGCCCAATTGTACATAAGTATATTTAATATTTTTCCAGCATCACTGATAATTTAAGAATGATATTATTCATAATATTAGTTCGACTTACCGGCTACCTTATTAATAATAATTAATAACAATAAAAAATATCCTAGACTGACACTACCGTCTCCGCCCAGAATCGTTTTTCGTATGCAATGCTTTCAAATATCATTGAATTCAAATTTAATACCATCCATTACATCGACCTTCTAGACACCTAAAGTACAGCCGAGTGACATCCACTTACAAGCTTTTTTTTGTTTGTATTTGTATATGTATTAATATTATATTATATTATAACTATTAACTATAACATAGTGACAGTTAGAGGTTATGTCCCCCCATTGTCCCATAAGTATCCTTAATTTTGTCTTTGGTACCTAATGGCATAAAAATGTATGTAATTGTATTATTACCAGGGTTGAGATTTTATAGCATTTGCACATTTCTTATAAAATGCTTAAGCGGTAGCAGACTATAAGCTTATAATGTGTTACCTATATAATTCAAAAAATTGAAATTAAAATTAAAATTTTGAGATTTTTTGAACTTTAGTACTATTTTTGGATTTTTTGAGATATTTTAAAACAAAATTCGTCAAATTATCTGAAATAACTTTCTAATAGACGTACTTTAGATTCATTAATGTCAATTTAGCTCAAAATCCTTTTTCGCATATAATAAGATTCCTTGTTGGGGAGAACTACATTTGTTTATTTGTTTGTTCTTTGTTTTTTTTATGATTTCTCTAAATTGATAAGATTGTTGATGTGTGAACCTTTAATTATGTCTCTGCATGTGTAATGGATTTTTTTTCATTCAAACTGTATCGATAACTTGTTGTCGGTTTTACATATACATTGCGATTCAATCGACTCCATACAAGCCGAGTCACCGTTGAAAGTGAGCACAGGAAAATAACTCTGGTTCAAAAGCACATATAGCACTGGAAAAAGTATGAATTATTTTCCAAAACAACATTAAATTATATTGAAAATCATAGGCATGGCACTGCTTGACGGGCCATGACTATCGTGCCACTAGTGACTAGCGTCAGACCTGCTGGCAGAACACCACGAAATAAACAAACGTCCAAGCTCCTAACAGTCATAACTCGGAATAAAGCACTGCACGTGCGACTGGTGAAAGAATTTATTATTATTATTATTATTATTATTATTATTGATACGAATGATGTTCGGAAAGAAAATATGAATTTGGCGATATTTGTTTGCAAACCGTGAGGATGAGTTGTGATATTGGTTGAGTACGTATTTTGTATCTACTATACGTATAAGCAAGATTTTTGTTTTTCCAATCATTTTATTGGGACAATATTCATACCTTCATTGGTAATCACAGGAAATGTTAAGTACACCCCAGTGTTAACAAAATTTAAGAAACCAGTAAGAGTGTCACCGGTAATGGCCGACCCACCCACAGACCACAGCAAAATACGAATTGCCGACGAGCATGTTAAATGTTTATCCGCCTAAGATTATACAAATTTTTTTTAAATATTTTTTCTTATAAATAAGAGAAGCAGTCAGTCAGTAGATAAACGAGTGAATGGTATTTGGTTTTTAATATTTTTATGATAATATTATATAGTATATATATATATATTTTTTTTATCTTTCTTATATTAATAAAATAAAAATAAATTACTAATGTCACTGAAAATATATTATATGATATGTTTTAGTATATCTTAATGACTGAAAAACACATCAATAAATGTGGAAAATCAGCTGTGTTTATATTTTCAATGCTCACGAGCATTATCAGTCAAACGCATGACCTTATTCACATATTTTATAATTATCACCTTTCCCTCCATAAACCGGCATGGCAGCATAACAATACCAATACCCCCGAAATAGACGGAATGCATATAACATATGCTTGCGGTACCAATACGCGTTGTAATATCATAGCTCAGTACTAGTTTGAACTTTCAAGAAGGCAATAGTGTCATACATTTTTCGATAAGCGTTCGAGTCAATAACTGCAGTAGTTAAACAAGTCGATTATGATATCGTTTCTGATCGACAGGTTGCTCGACAACGTTACTTATCTGAGCTTGATTGTTGTTTTCGGGAGCTTCTACTATTATTCGACTTCGACACACGGTAAATGGCAGAAATTTAATATTCCGTATATACCACCCGTACCACTATTTGGTAACACGATCAGAATGGTTATGAGACTCGAACATCATATTGACATGTTCGACAGAATCTACCACCAGTTTCCAGACGCCAAGCTGGTGGGGTACTACCAGATGAGGGAGCCGATGTTGATGATCCGTGACCCAGAGCTGATCAACACTATACTGGTCAAGGACTTCTCGCACTTCACCGATCACGGCATTGATTTGCCGCCCACATCCGTAATGGCAAAAAGTCTGTTCTTCTCTAATGGCCAAAAATGGCGGACGATGCGACAGAAGCTGAGTCCGGGCTTCACGTCCGGCAAGCTAAAGGACACACACGTACAGATCAACGAGTGCAGCGACGAGATGGTGTCCAAAATCGTTGACACGATTGAGAAAAATACCGACCGAATTGACGTGAAACCGATGACAGCTGGTTTTTCAACAGACGTGATCGGGACGTGCGCGTTTGGCCTGAAGCTAGACACGATCAAGAACGACGATTCTGACTTCCGGCGGTACGCTAAAAGAATGTTCCAGAACACTCCGAAGCAGATTATCATCCAGATGCTGGCGATTATCTGCCCTTTTATAATCGAGCTGTTTAATATACAACTATTTCCTGTAGATGCTACCAATTTTTTCTATAAGGTGTTCACCGACGTCATCGATTACCGTGAACAACACAATGTGGTCCGGAACGATTTGACGCAGACCCTGATGCAAGCGCGGAAAGAATTGGTGTCGAAGGATGAATCCACCGTTGAAGGTATTATTGTTGCAGCTATACAATGATTAATGTTGTATTTAAGTTACAAAGCTGTAAGATTTCCAAAATTTTCTTTTAGTTACGAATTTATGATACATGAATTATGAAACATTAAACAAACAATAAATGTAATATGGTTAATTATGCATTGTTAAATTACATAGGTAGTAACAATGTAATATTGTACCTACTACCTATAAATACCTACATAACTGTAATTTATTATAACATAAATACATACTAGATTTAAGTTTTTTTCGAATAACTTATTTGCAGATAAGTTTACTGAAGCTGATATCATCGGTAATGCTATACTTATGTTCACCGCTGGTTCTGAAACCGTTTCGTCTGTGCTATATTTTTGCCTATACGAATTGGCGCTAAACAAGGAAACCCAAGACAAATTACGTGGGGAGATATGCTCGATGAAAGCAAAACACAACGGACAATTAAACAATGATTATTTGATGGATCTACATTACACCACCATGGTGTTGGAAGGTATAACAGTATTCAAAAAATGTAATAATATAATATAACTCCTTTTTTTTCTATATGAGTATTTAAAGTTCAAATGTTGACGAAGCTCGTCTGAATCTCAAAACTTTGAAAAATTATTTTGTATTTGCAAAATTATAAAATGTTCAATTTGTTTAGCTAAGAATTGAAAACTCAACAAAAGGTTTCTCATAAATAGTTCATACGTGGCGCGGTATCGTGCGATGTCTAAGTTGAGTATTCGCTCTGACCGTAGGTATATACGTACCGGTCAGCGTTGCTAGCTCCCGGATGCATGACATTGCAAAAAAATAATTGCCACACATACAATACGTGTTTCAAACCAACCTATTTTCCCTACAAGATACCTAATGACCATAGTTGACGGACCTTGGATCAATATATATAAAAAAAATAATAATTCATAGTTGCAAATTTTATAAATACAGTTCTTTTTTACAGACATTTTAAGTTTAAATTTGGACGAAATTACATACTTAAACGAAGAATAACGATTTTAGTTTTTTAATTTAAAAATGTCATTCGTTGGTTACTTGAAACTTTTAGAGCATATTATTATACTTTATACACACGAAGTGACATTTTCAAATGCAATTTTTTCGGAAAAAAAATAATTTAACCTATTGCGTAGTCTAATGCCTAATAGAAAAATAAATTCACAATACATTACAATAAGCCACAATAAAAATAAAATTGTATATATTATTTATTGTTTTTAAATTGCATCAAATTTTTATTCGGTATAATAAGGCCTTTCTTTTTTTTGCCCTGGTGTGGCAAATTCGGAATTCCTATGTACAGTTCAGTTTATTATGTATTGCATATTTGAATTAGTCGTTTATCGTATTTCAGAGACTTCTCGCAAGTACTCCATAGCTTATAGCATAATGAGAGTGGCTACGAAAACATACACTCTACCCGACAAATCATTTGTCATTGAAAAAGGACAAAAAATATTTATACCTATGTTTAACATACATCGTGATCCAAAATATTATCCCGATCCGTTGAGTTTTAATCCAGAAAGATTTTCTATGGAACAAAAATCTCAAAGACCAAATGGAACTTACATACCGTTTGGCGACGGCCCTCGACTATGCATAGGTAATACAATTATAATAAACTTATACTTTAATATTAATTAATCATAAGACTTTCTTAATTCGTTCAATAAAGCATGTGGTATGTGTAATTTATCGTTCAATCGAATTTACCAAACATTTCTATATTATATTATGTAGGCAAACGTTTCGCCGAATCAGAAATGAAATTGGTCCTGTCAAATTTACTGTCAAAATTCGAAGTACTACCATGTGAACAAACCGAAATTCCCCTTGACATTAGAAGTGGAACAGGATTAATTTCAGCGAAAAACGGCGTTGTGTTAAAATTTAGACCAATTATTGAGCATTTATAACTATGAAATATTTCTATTCCTAAAAATGTATCAACATATTGGGTACCTTTCTCTTTGTCGATATTTCAAATCACTCTGTTATTGTGTACTCTCTAACCTCTGTTCTGCACTTTTATTACTTTATTAGAAATGGTTTTCTATAAAACTATTGCATTTTTTTGATTAGCATATTCTTACAATTTTTTTATATTCATGTCTCTATTATTTATTAGAAAATTAGAACCAAGGTGTGTGGTTATAGTACATAAATGTGTTCAAATTTTTATAACCGGTCAAATGTCCTACTATATTTAGCTTACACATGTAATAATGTTATTAATTATTATATTAATGTACTCATTCGTATACAGAGGTATTGTATTTTATAACAAATATTTAATAAAAATTTATCTTCAATATATTAATATAAATAAATTTATAACTTATATTTTAAACAGTTAAAGATAAATAAATATTACTTTATCTAAGTAACATAACAAGTTATTTTTTTTATAAGTACCTAACCTTTGACTTGAGAAGTTAAATTATTATCCATGATGTGAAGTAACTTATGTGTTACCTAATTAATTGTATTGTCATGTTAGTTAAGTAATAAATATTTACCAACAATTACGTAATTAGACCAGTCATAATATTGTTAATATAAAAAATTGTTTAATGTAAAAATCGAACAAATGTTCTACGAAGAAATATTTAATATGCATACAATATACATACTATATTCATTATTCTTTTCGGAAATAAAATGGATTGGCTACAAAGCTTACAAACCTCATAATATGCGCTTTTCGTTGTTCAGTAGATATTCTATGTTATAAGTTCCTCCGAATGCTAATTTTTGCCGTCAGTATTGTATCAATTTTGTACGAGTTATTACTTACAAAAAGTAGTCAACTTTTGATGTACACAATTTTGTTCGTATTTCATGAATTATCTTATGCTATACCTAGCATTTTTGTTATGTGATTTATATATATTATATATTTATTATATTTGTTGTTGCAATATATATTTGTTGTTTATTCATAATATATTATATTGTTTGAGTAGTATGACGTTCAAAATACATGTATATTTTATTCAGCATCTTCGTACAGTTTGTTTTTGAGTAGTCAAACCAATTTTTGTAAGTCCATAACTGCTGTTAGATTTTCAAAGAAAACTGAAAGCAAATATATGTCATTACTTTACTCACAACAAAATTAAGTCGAATCTGGTTGGTGAGTTCTAATTTAAATAGGTTAGGTAGATACTTACTATATTATATTATATTATATACAAACGGAAAAATTCGATAAAAGAACAAAATCTGTTTCTTACCTCACTACCTATGCAGTGTTGCCCCCAATATAGTCCCAAGCGTGATGTTGAAAGGAACTTCGGAAAAAACGGTGGTTCAATCATTGTTTATATCAAATTAATAAAATTAAAAATATTTAAACTGCCCAATGCGGCAATGCGTACCTATACTCATTAGGAATCAAAAGTAAAACATAATTTTTTTTCTATGACTTAAAATTTCAATCCCTTCCGCTCATGCATAAATTAAAATTTTACAAAACCAAAAGTCATACAGAGGATAATAGAAGGAATTATCAAGTATAGGTAGGTATCAACATACAAATCATATATGTTCTATTTATTAGGAGTGTACAGTATAAATGGTGTACAATATAAACTTCTATTTTTTCCCCATCGAGAAGCTCTTTCTTTACTTTAAATTATTCAACTGCAGATGTTTTTATGAAAATCTTGATGTATCGAAATTGAAATTCGATAAGAGTAGATTCCGTGTTACATTGTTACTATACAATAATCATTATGTGATCGTCATCTTTGTTGACAATGCCCTCTTCAAATAAATCACGATATGTACATATTATTATGTACTTTCTATAAAGTCGTTACTACAAATCGTTATTAGTATTTATAAGCTTAAATAATTTTTTTTAAATAGTGGATACAAAAACAAATAGCCAAGTATAAACATTAAAAGAAAATAACTTAAAAATACCTAAAAAAAAAAAAATCGAAACTTTAAAATGGCTATAAATAGAATAAAATAAATCAAAATATTTTGAATATTTTAATGTTTAAAAATAATTATATATTAAGTAATAGTAGTGTATAATAAGTTTCAATAATGATTATTTTTTGAATTACACTAAAATAACAACAACAGTTTATTATTTATTATTATTATTTTAGTTGGAACTTTAATTTAAACAAATTATGTTATTTTCACAATAAAAAAAACATAATAAAAAAAAATGAGAAATCTTTCACTAATTTATTTCAGTTTTAAGGTTTTTACTCAAAAACAAATATTCAAAAATGCATAAATAACTAAATTAAATAAATTAAAAGTAAAAACTCGTAAAATGAGTTAATTCTTTACTACTCCCAGAATCTACAAATATTATAAGTATTTATTGAAACAGTTAAATACCTATTGAATAATTATAATATTCCTTTATAAATACAGTGGTTCCCAACTAGTATTAAGAGATCTTTCTTAATCTATATCTAAATAATATTTATTAGTGTATATAGGTATATACCTAATAACTAATAGCTTATATCTATTATAATCTACTTATATATTATAAGTTATCATACACTTATAATTTTAAAACAACTTTCAGTGAAGTCATTTTAAAACATTAAATTACATTAATAGGTATCTTATAAAATATATAACATAATAATATTATATAATATTAAGCCGAAATCGACAACCTGATTCCCGAAAATCAAAAAATTGGAACAATTTCATTGTTGATTTCATGAACTATGTAAAGTAGTGACATATTCGGTGATGGTTTAGTTCAATAATTAAGATTTATAAGCACACTGCACAGGGTAGATATAAGTTCAGCCATCAAATGTTTTATAGTGGAATAATAACTTAAAATACAAATTATTAATTAATAAAATTAAAAATCTTTAAACTGCTTGACGCGTAAAAGTAACACAATATACATTTATTATTCTATGTATTAAATTCTAAATATCAATCCTATCGACATGAACATGCAATTTTTGCTACGCCATTTGTTCGAGTTCAATGACCGTTCAAACTTATCTTATATATAAGCTTGTGCTATATTAATTGTTTGCTAACTTGAGCCTACCTATAGGCATCACCCACTGCTATTTACTACTTAATGATCAATGACGTCATTTGACTTCATCAACAAGATAGCAAGAATAGAAATATTTAATATTATGTAAATATTGTAAATAGAAACTACGCGATAAACCAACTATATAAAAACATTTAAAACGCACAATCTGAATTATTGACCGAGAACCAAACCTAAGATGAATGTGAATTATTAAATTATATTGTTATATGACCTTGTAGTTAAAAAATACATGTATTATTTTATTAATATTTCCAATACTATACTATTTGTGTATGAATATAATTGCTCTACCGGCATGTATAAAATAATGGATAAAAAATATTTTACGGAGAACAATATCAATATGTCAACTCATTGATTGACTATAGACTATAGAGTAAATAATAAATTTATTGGAACGCGTTTAGATATTGTAGGGTTTTTCTGGAACAGTGAAGCAACCAGGGTAAAACAACGTACCTCCCTTCCGAAATCTTATTTTTTTCGCCAGCATGTTATTTCTTATGTATATATGTATTAAAAACAATGTAACCTTGTAATATCCAATTCTTTCAAAAGTTTAAACTTATAACGCTCTTAAAAAAAATGTGTGGATTAGCTCTCGTCTTTTCTTTTAATTCTAGCAGCAGCTTTTGGGGGAACTTGTATTAGATTTTAATTATTAGGTGTAATAATAATAAATATTTATGAATTTTGAACTACAATATGATTTGAAAATAATTTTTTTTTTTTTAGTAACGAAATTCATACTTTAAATGCTTACAAAAAAAATGTGACTTATTTCTGATACTTCTGATCAGTAAATGAACAGCTATTATAATAATTATTAAACTAATATCCATTCAATTTTCAACCTTTTGGTCAATGCAAATCGGTAGTTTTTTTTTTGACATAATATTATATAAAAATGAACTAAAAAAATTGCAATATTATTTTGTCAACCAATGATTAGAGAGAGGTGCCCCATCAAAAAATGTCCTATGTTTAAAAAAATAAGTATAAAAAAACAATAAAATTAATTTAAAGAAAAAAAGGAAGGGGTGCACAAGCTTCCCCAGGCAAATGCACTTTAAGAATAAAAACAAATTTTTTTTAATTAACATTGGGAACACACTCCAAAGACTGCAATCTTCAACCTTCAAATACATAAACATAAATGCTCTGTTGTACCAGTATGGTCGCAAGGGGATGGCAGTGTGGAGGGGTGCTGGATTTAATCACCCCCGGGTAAGGCGGGAATAACAGAGGGTTAATTGGGACCCTTAGAATAAGAAGATATGTCGTTTCAGGCGACAAAGATTCATGTCGTTCACATGAAATGATAATCCCAGTTCGGGCACTCATAACACAATCTTACTGCTTTAAATTCTAAGAAATAGATATGTCACTTTCAAAACTATTTAACGTCGCTATCCTAGTTAAAATTAATTTTTTTGGAAGATTTTCTTGCAAAAATGTAACTTAACGATACCATAAACTATCTAGATTAAATTTGAAGTTCACTGTTAAATATTTATACTGAAAAATCTAATAACATGTAAAATGTAACCTTATGAAAATATAAAAGCCGTTTTTATGCTCAAAATACAACAGTTCTACTTTCAATTCCTTGCCCTGAAGATATTAACTGTTCAACTTTTTTGTTTACCTGTATCACAGGATATTTTTTATACATTTTGATTACTATACTATAGCATTATGTTCCGTTTTTCAGAAAAGACACTGTTTCTATTTTAAAATGTATACCATAATGTTCTTATAATATGTTAATATATTATTAACATGCATGTTCATGACGAATGTCATCGCAATGGATTCACAATAATATTTCGTCCGAATTCGAGATCCGGTCACCATCCTCCGCCAACTGGATGCATCAATAGTTTTTAATGAGCTGAAATATGCAAGCCCGACAAAAATTAATTTGGAAAGTCGTGATTTCACCGCAGGCATTGTGGTGCATCGTGCATGTGACTTCAACTGGTGATACAGCCGACATCGCGGATTTGAACTAAAACGAACCCGCCGTTGCACCTGGCAAGATGTCACTATCAACGACATCTACATAATAATAATATATTCACATGACATGTCCCGTCTTCTGCCTTGACCAAGTGTGCGTCCAAGTGCCAGCCACGTTGCTATGTCGTGTCAGCCGTTTTTTTATAGCATCACGAATTATTTTATTAATTACGCTGATGGTTTATGGCCGTTTTTGTTACATGTCCGCCTTACTGCCTTAGCCGTAAGTGTCATCTTAATTTCAATGTACATTCGTATTTTGTTGTGGCACATTCCGCCTTGAGCGTCACTGTAGTACTCCCCTCGAATTTATACATTTTACCAGCTGGTATTTGGTATGTCACGTTTGTTTGCGTTCCGTATACCTGTGTTATTGCACGCCGTTGTTATACAATGACAAGATATCCGCCCTTTTCCGTCCACGCATCCTGTATACCAGGCATGTCAAACTCAAAGTATCAAGTGGGCCAAATATATTGAAAAGTTTACTACGCGGGCCGCACATAAAAATTTAGCGAAAAAATAAATGTTTTGTACAAATTTTTCAATTTTATTCTTTATATGTTCACGAATACAGCAATATTACAACCAAATGGCTTGCATTTCATAAAAAAATTCCGTTGTACGTTATTTGCGATTCAAGCCCTGATTACAACTAAATTAAAAAAGCGGGTAAGTGGATATCGCTCTGCTGTACAGTAGGTTACAAGTGGGTCACTGTATAATGGATGGAATTAAATTTGAATTCAATGATACAATATCATTGTATAAGAAAAACGATTCTGAGTGGAGACGGTATGTCAGTCTTGGTTTAAGACATATTACATACTTATCTATGGTATTAAAAAAATAATTGACTTAATCGTAATATTAAACTGTAGATTGTATAGATAGGCCATATTTTGATTTTTTTGATTCTTCAGTTTCATATTATACCGACGAATAATATTTTTAAATTACAACAAAATAACCAAAATCGTTATTACTGATTTTAATATGTAATTTCGTCCAAATTTGAATTTAAAATGTCTGTAAAAAATAACTGTGTTTATGTGTTTTGTAGATTTTTTGGTTACAGAATGAACTATTTATGAGAATCTTTGTTTTAAATTTTCAATCCTTAGTTATAAAAACTGAACATTTTATAATTTTTTAATTACATTGATTAATAATTTTCGAGATTTTGATAAATTTTGTCAAAATTTGAATTTTAAATGCTTATAAAAAAAAATTGTGCCTATATATTTTAAATATTTTACAATTGCTATTGTAAAAATATATCAGGCGCCTTGTATTAAATTTTCAAGCTTTTTCGCCCAACAAATACAATTTTATTGGTATTTATAGAAAAAAAAACTAAGAAAATTGAAAATTGACAATGTCCGTAAACATCTCAAAAAGAGTCAAATTATTTTCAAAATTTTACCGTGTATATAAAATGCAAATATAAACAACCTGTGAAAATTTCATATATCTATGGTAATTTGTTTTAGAGTTACACCAAAAACAAAATCCCCGTTTTTCCTTAATTTTTCTTTCGTTTTTCACGTCGCTTTTGAAAACTACTAAGAAATTTTTACTTTTGACTCCCCCAAAGTACCAACTAGATTCACTTGCCAATCAGAAAAGTTACTGTTGAAGAAAATCGAAGCAGTTTTACTGTCCTAAAAGGTGATGACAGACACAAAAAAAAAAAATATAAAAACACACATCATTGTAAAATCAATACATTCATCGTTCCACTCAGAATCTAAAATAAAAATAAATTAACATTAACATTTAAATAAAATATAAATCATACCTACTAATTATTTATGAAAATAGGTGTTGTATAAATTACAAAAAAAAACATATAAATAATTCTTTTTAGACGATATTTGACATCTCTTGTGCCACATTAATAACTTTTGTACATAACACCTCTTGGTGTATCATAAAATGTGTTCTATGAAATTTATGCTCAACATATTCATTCGCTTTTTTTGCAATCTTTCAACGAATCCTTTATTTTTCCCCGTCATAGAAGGAGCTCCATCTGTTGCTACAGATGACAACTTTTCCAAAGGTAAATCATATTTTTTCAAGAGTTCAAAAACAGAAACGAATACATCCTCTCCTGTAATAGTATCAAACATAGGTATAATTTCCAATAACTCTTCAAAAATATTAAATTCCATATCGCAAGCACGAAGAAACACAGCTAACTGAGCTGTGCCACCAATATCGGTACTTTCATCACAAGCGATTGAAAAATACTCGAATGTAGGTATTTTAATTTTAATTTGATTATTCAAATTGCAAGCTTGTTCAGTTATTCTTTCAGCAACCGTATTTCGTGTCAATAAAATGTTTTGAAAAGCTTTTAGATTTCCAGGACAAATAATTTCAGCAGTTTTAATCAAACACGTTTTTATAAAATCACCTTCAGTGAACGGTTTCGAATGTTTAGCAATTAACTCTGACAACACGTAACTAACCTTTACTGCAGCTTCATTTTCTTGTGGTATTTTAGTAAACATTATCTGTTGTTTTTTATACCCTGATATAAACTCTTTCAGTTTTTCTTGCCTCAATAACCCTTCATAGTGGTCGTATTTTGACTTATGTTGTTCATAATGTCGCTTAATATTGCACAACTTTGGAACACTAATAACACTTTTACATATTAATCAAAGTATTTTATTATTGATGTCACTGCAAAAATATTGTAATTCCCAATTTTCTTGAAACTGATGATGTTCATCGGTAATTTTTCGTTTATTACTACCACTTGGTTTTGATACAGACATTTTTAAAGATTAAATTTACTGTAGAATACACGTAACAAAATTTAAACTCGAACACACGGTGTTTATCGAACGACTAGTCGTATAAATGTTAACAGTGGAAGAGACACGCGTGTCGCAAACTGACAATATAAATTATTAATCTATAATGTATAATGAATATAGATATAAAATATAAACCATCAATAATCCCTATTCGATAATAGTTTATCAGAAGATAAGACAGTATAATAATGTATACCAAATAAACCATTCTGACATTCTGACCAGTCGTGACACAAATAATATTATTTTGAATAAATAAATATTTTTTTCATTAATATTGGTAGCCGAGGGCCACAAAAAAATGAGCCGCGTGTTTGACATGCTTGCTGTATCCTGTATACCATGGTTTAGTGGTATACTACTGTCGTGTTGCGTTTTCGTCCTTTGTCGAGTCGGTCACGGCGTAACAGGATAGTCATGGTATCGGCCCACCGAGTTTCATATTTCATATTTCTATACTCATGTTTGTACTTATTTCTCATCCACAAAAAGAAAAAATTTACCAATTAACACTCATAACTGGCCCGTATTTTGAGTGGCCCACCGAGATTTACTCGGCAGCTTGCCGATCCGGCCATTGCCTGAATTGTTGAATGTCATACAATTTATTCTTCTGGTGTATCCCGGGCGCTTTGTTTCATTCGAGGGTGTCAGCCTAATATCTGCCCGCGGATCACGATACATATTGTTACATACAACATATTACATTTAATTCTTTAAATATTGGTTAGTGGTTACATAAACGATAAACAAATTATTATATTACTACGAGGCATTCCTTGCTTCTGGNTATTTATACAAGAAATCACAAAAGTTTTGAACTTTGTAAATTTTTAGGATAAGTAATGTTATTGTTATATAATATTTAAAATTTTAAACATAGTATACCTATTTCCTTGGTCGTTTATCATTACAATAATTCATAGCTAGGTATAGAATATACCAGATACCAAGAGACATGAGTTTGAAATTAATAATGATATGTAGACATGTAGTATATGTAATAATGTATTAATATGTATAAATTGTATCTGGTTCATGTGTTTAAATATATAGTATAAGACAATAGGAAGAGTAGATGACTATAATTATTAGGTAAGCATAAAGTATTTTGTAAGTATTAATGTTTGTTCGAGCGTAGAGAAAAAATTTTTTTTTGGTTATTTACTTGTAAAAAAAGGCGTATACTGAATTAGGGGCGTCATATTTATGTTTGCTCCCCCATACATTGTCCCTTAATACGGCCCTGACACTTGTAGAGTACAATTTGCACATAAAGTTGACATTTTATTGTTTTTTGCGATTTAAGTATTTCTAATTCAACTTCAAATATGGTCTAGATAGTTTGAGGAACCGTGAAACTAGAGTTTTCCAGAAAGAAAAACAGAAGTAAATAAATTTTGACTAGTTTTACGATAGAAAAGGGTTTTGAATGTGACGTTTCTGTTTCAAGGAGATTAAGTATAAAGATTGAATTTTGAACAACAACACGATGTTTATATTTTTATATGATCGACGAACTATTCGTGGACACAAAAAAAACCCGAATTCGTCCATTTTTTTTTCACATAGGCCTTACATTGACACTTGTAGAGTACATTTTGCACATAGTTTACATTTTATTGATTTTTGTGGTTTAAGTATTTTGAAGTCAACATCAAATATGGTTTAGATAGTTTAAGGAATCTTTAAAATATAGTTTTCCAGAAAGAAAATCATAATTAAATAAATTTTTACTAGTTTTACTATAGAAAAGGGTTTTGATAGTGACGTTTCTGTTTCAATGAGATTTAAGTATAAAGATTGAATTTTGAACAATAGCACGATGTTTATATTTTTATATAGGCGAGGAACTTTTCGTTGACACAAAAAAAAAATTGAATTTTTTCACTTTTTTTTCACATAAGCCTTACATTGACACTTGTAGAGTACAATGTGCACATAAAGTTTACATTTTATTGATTTTTGAGGTATAAGTATTTCGAAGTCAACTTCAAATATGGTCTAGATAGTTTGAGGAATCGTGAAACTAGAGTTTTCCAGTAAGAAAATCATATTTAAATAAATTTTTACTAGTTTTACGATAGCAAAGGGTTTTGATAGTGACGTTTCTGTTTCAATGAGATTTAAATAGAAAGATTGAATTTTGAACATGAACTTGATGTTTATATTATTATATGGACGATGAATTATTGCTTGACACAAAAAAAGCTCAGATTTGTCCATTTTTTTTCACATAGGCCTTACATTGACACTTGTAGAGTACATTTTGCACATAAAGATTACATTTTATTGATATTTGAGGTTTAAGTATTACGAAGTCAACTTCAAATATGGTCTAGATAGTTTAACGAATCGTTAAACTATAGTTTTCCAGAAAGAAAATCATAATTAAATAAATTTTTACTAGTTTTACGATAGAAAAGGGTTTTGAAAGTGAGGTTTCTGTTTCAATGAGATTTAAGTAGAAAGATTGAATGTTGAACAACAACTTGATGTTTATATTTTTATATGGACGACGAATTATTCATTGACACAAAAAAAGCCCGAATTTGTTCACTTTTTTTTCACATTTTTTTTGGGCTATGGTTGGGGGCCCTTTTTTCCAAATCGCGGACTGGGCCTTTTCGAGCCAGTCCGACACTGCTGAAACTGACAATATTAATTATTAATCTATAATGTATAATGAACATAGATATAAAATATAAACCATCAATAATCCCTATTCGATAATAGTTATCAGAAGATAAGACAGTATAATAATGTATACCAAATAAACCATTCTGACATTCTGACCAGTCGTGACACAAATAATATTATTTTGAATAAATAAATATTTTTTTCATTAATATTGGTAGCCGAGGGCCACAAAAAAGGAGCCGCGTGTTTGACATGCTTGCTGTATCCTGTATACCATGGTTTAGTGGTATACTACTGTCGTGTTGCGTTTTCGTCCTTTGTCGAGTCGGTCACGGTGTAACATTATAGTCATGGTATCGGCCCACCGAGTTTTATATTTCATATTTCTATACTCATGTTTGTACTTATTTCTCATTATCACAATAAGAAAAGGTTACCAATTAACACTCATAACTGGCCCGTATTTTGAGTGGCCCACCGAGATTTCCTCGGCAGCTTGCCGATCCGGCCATTGCCTGAATTGTTGAATGTCATACAATTTATTCTTCTGATGTATCCCGGGCGTTTTGTTTCATTCGAGGGTGTCGGCCTAATATCTGCCCGCGGATCACGATACATATTGTTACATACAACATATTACATTTAATTCTTTAAATATTGGTTAGTGGTTACATAAACGATAAGCAAATTATTATATTACTACGAGGCATTCCTTGATTCTGGCGACGAACCACTCGTTTTTGTTACCATATTTTTGAGGGCCACACTACACGCTCTTTGCTGACCGCGATTGGATGACCGTGTTATTATATATTTATAATATTAAAATAGTGATCCGTCCAAAGTTAGATTATAATATATTATCGCACATGCAGTAGGAAGTGCAATTGTGCATTATTTATGCTTGATCGGAACCTATTCTGTGTATTACAACGTGCCTTAGGTAAAAGCGGATCCAAGTCCCTCACCGACATAGGCGTAACTTGGACTCTATTCACGAGGGGGCAAAAATAATTTTTGAGGATCTCTAAACATTTTCATAATCTTATTTAAATTTAATATTTATTATAAAACTCTTTTATCATTTTACCACCATTTTTCATTTAACTCATTTTAAGCAAACATTTTTTTATATACCTATACTGTAAGTTTTATACCAAACAATAATAAAATTACTACTTATTTCTTTTTAAACCATAATTAATATTCATAATTATATAAAAATTAAAAAGTAACTTTGTAGAAAAAAACTTGTTTTAAGTTTTTATATTTTTTTGTGTGTGTTTCTGTTTCCGGGCAGTAAAAGTCCTACTTGGGTAGGTACTACTTCTATAATTAGTATTTAAATAAAATGTAAAAGTGTATGTGTTTTAAATTTACAAGCACTCATTATTTGTTGTTATTGTAAAATATTATTATATTAAAATATATTCCTATAAATATAATATAATATATTATATTATGTATATGTTAGGTACGGTCAAAGTGTATAATTGGGCGTTGTAGTACAATGCCCGGACAATGTATACAATGCCCCATTTCAATAAACAATGCACCTTAACCAGTATTCTAAATATCCACCAACCCAAAAGTATATCCGGAAAAATCCACAACCAGATACACCGCCTCAAAACCAATGCACAGACCATCATTTTCTGTTGGGTACCTAGCTACGTCGGAATCCGAGGTAATGAATTAGCTGATACATTTGCCAAAGAAGCCATCTCCTCCCAACTCTCCCGCCAAATCCACACCTGTACTTTTCAAGACCTCAAAACCACCATTGACAACCACATTCAAACACAATGGCAGATCCTATGGTCAACTCTCCACACCAAGCTTAATAAAATAAAACCCACAGTCTCCCCATGGCCATTCTTCTTATTACCCAGACGGCCAGACGCCAGGAAATAATCTTAAACAGACTACGGATAGGCCACACATGACACATGGGTGACTCATAAACACCTTATGGACAGATCTGAACCCGAACAATGCCAAACTTGCGGTGAAACCTCTACGGTTGAACACATAATATGCCACTGCCGTAAATTCGCCGACATCAGAACTAACCTCAACATATCAGATAACCTGGAAGAAGCCCTTAGTGGCTTAGTCCACAGTCAATCAATATAAAACAAATAGTTAATTATTTAAAATTAACGAGATTATATCACCTAATAAAACCTAGATATATTTCAAACATACCATTTATAATTATGTATCCATTTATCTATCTATCTTTGTATCTATCTATATTAATTGTAATTTTCTTATCATATTACTTTGTATATATTATTATTAATGTCTCATATTTTTTTTTAAAAATATTAATGTCTTAATATTCTAATGCCAATAACCTTTGTTGTTGCGGCTTAATAAAAAAAAAAAAAAAATAGACAATGTGGACAGTTAAACACTTTGCCCGGGCATTACACAGAATGGCTAGAGCACAGTGGGAAATTACAATTAATTAATTAAAATGTATAAAACGATTTTTGTTATCTTAATAATTTACAATAATTTATTTTTTGAATATTAACTATTTTTTAAATTATTTTTTTCAATTTAAGCTATCATGACATTTAGAAGCCCTACACTTACATTTAATATTGTCTTACATTGCTGTTTACAGTTACACCGGTCATATCCTTGACCGCCAAGATTTGAAAATTTTTCTATAGGCATTCTGCAAGTTTGTGTGTTAATGGTTTAAGTAAGACATATTTCGTTATAATATATGCATAGTGTTTATAAATTAGAAACCGGGCACCTTCCTATAATCTATATCCTATATAACACGGAGTACTAGGCAGGTTAGCAGTTTCCATCCGGTCCCACAACCTATGATTAGCAGCCAAGTCAGCATAAAAATCTTCATTATTGAGTGAATCTATAAAAATAATTAAATTAAATTAATATAATATATACATGAGAAAATGTTAAATATATTTACCTGTATCAGTATACATAAACCTAATCTTTAGGTGGCTTGGCGTGGTGCGTTGGCTGTTACCAGTCGCGGAATGCGACTGAGAGTAAGTAACGGCCACAACTACTAGCTCCCGGATGGGTGACCACCCGGGTTCGTAGTAGTTAAAAACCTCGCCACACCGGAGTTGCCCGATTGCGGCCCGAATTCAGGTAGTCGTATTTTATCCCAAATATAAGTATCCCGATTGCGTCCAAACACACATTGGTTCACAAAATAGCTTATAATTAATAAAATGAAGTATTTGGTTAATATTTTAAATACTATTGGAAGTAATATTTTTATTTATGATTTTATTAGCAAAATTTGTAATTATTTTGATTTTTCAATATACATTTNACTAACTTAAGACTTATATTAATGTTTGAACTAGAATTAAGTAATTTGATTTAATTTTGTATAATTATGATAAGAAACAACTCATCGAAGATTTTGATTAATGATTCCACAAATTTAACTTTTCGGGAGCCACAAACAAATGAACAAGTTGACTTATGTTTCTTAGGATCAAAAGATTCACTGAATCAGTTCATCAAAGTAAACATGTCCTAACTTGACTACTCAACAATGTATTCTTCAGTTCATACATCTTAAGTTATATTTTGTTAATTTAATCTACAGTTATATTTTTTTTTTTTGTTTTTATTGAATGACAAACCCTAACACAAAAATATATATAATTGAACGGATTTTGTGAAAAGGGAATCAAGTCAATAATAGTAATTGTTCGGTAGACAGCAAAAACATTTCATCTTCTACATTTAAATAAAAAAAAATTGAAACTATTAATTTTATTTATAACTTCGATAAATTGTATGATTATGTAAATAAAAATACTTTAAAACCATTTTTTAGTTATTTTTGTTGACTTGATACCAATAGCAAGAACGTTAATAGTATTTTACAACTTGATACCATTAAGTGCAAAAAGTATCAAGTCGTTATTATGCAATAATATTCGTGCTATTGGGATCAACTATCAAGTCAACAAAAATTAATTTATGATTAATAATTTAATTTTTTTTATAATTTAGTAAAGTTGTTTATTACACATACATTATTTTGCAATTTATATACTAAAGTTTCCATAAAACAAATAACTAATTACTGCATATAATAGTTTAAGATCTCTGAAAAGTAACTCAAATAATACAAAATATTTTAATAATAATACGTGCAATGTACATAATATTATTACATTAAAAATGGAATTGAATAGGTACCTAAAGGTTGATCATAATTTTATTCATCTAATAAAGTTTATATGATATATTTTAATAAAAGTAAATAATAATAATAATTAAGAATATAGTACTAGTAGGTAATATATTTTTGACTGATTTTAGGTTTTATTAAAATCATAATGTCTTTTGGGTATAATTTATTATTAATTATAATATCAATAACATTTTTAA